GTTCATAATTCATAGTAAGCTCATACTGTACATAAATAACACTGGATTAATTAATTGTTTTGAGGAAACTAAACAAATGGCTTCAACAAGAAAGATTGCGTGTTTAATCTTAACAGGTATTAAAAAGTAAAATACAAAAGCAGCCCACACAATTACATCACTATGAAAATATTCATATATAATATTAAAAAATACAATGCACGCAGTATTTGTTGTGTTTATCTGTATTTAATGAACAACATGGCTGGGTGTTGGTAGACAGGGACACAGGGCAAGATTCTAAACCTCACTGATCAGTGGACTCTTCAGGTTAACTAGGCCAGCACAGATGGTTAAGATGTTGTCCAGTTTCGGTGCCATGCTGATGGGAACATTCTGGGATAAAATCTTAAAACACCTTCAGTCTCTGGATTGCTCTTTCCACATGTATGCGGACATTGGCTACTCGCCTGGTGCGTGTCGTCTCCTCATTGGTCAACTGATTGCGCCTGTAGGTGGAAGCAGGGATGTTCAAACTGACCCTTCTCTCATCAAGCAAGTCTCGAATGGTGAACCCACGGTCCGCCATGACCTCATCACCAGCCCTCAGATAGTCTAGGAACCCACTGTCCATGGTGATAAACTTATCGCTGCTTCTGCCAGCATAGGCATCAGATATAAACATGATTAGCCCATTAGGGGCCACAGCGACGAGATATTTCACAGTGTTGCGTGATTTATACTGGCTGAAAGTGTCACTCCTTGAGTCGTGGTTTGTGGCTCTCTGCATTGCACTTTCGGCACAGTCAATGATGCAGGTGGTTCGAGGGTAGTTCCTCTGAAACGACAAGGGCATGGTGGCACGAATGGTCTCTCTTGGAAGCCAGGGGATCAGGACTTTGAACTGTTCACCCATCACGTCAATCCAGTGACTAATCACAATGCTTGCCATGGATGTAGACACATTGAAGCGGTGAGCAATATCTCCTAATATTAGGTTTAGTTTTAGTTTCATCAACGTCATAAGTATTTGGTCAACAACAGGAAGGGTAATTGATGGCTTACTGAAAGGCAATAACACCGTCACCAGGGTGAAGAATTGAACCATAAGCACTCCTGTATACAGCCGGGACCTAGCATCATCAATGACCGTGGTGCTGGTCACAGTAGGACCCATTTCTGCCTCGCACTGTGTGGCCTTGTCTACTTTAACAGACTGTGTTGTTGAACAGTAAATGTGATCAATATGTGACGGATCCTCCCATTGGGTCTGGGCATCTCGAAATTTTGGTGTAGCAGGCTCGGCCTCACAGACAGGCTGAGGTTTCTGGAGCATCTAAAAAGGGGAAGAGAAAACATGGATGGAGCAAAATTAATGCAGGCATAGAGTCCTCTCACTACAAACATCACAATGGAAAAATGTGTACTACAACATTGCACTCACACGCACACACACACAATCATCATCACAACAGCCTGCCACCTTGCATTGTATTTATGATGTAGACTAAGGCACACGCAGGCAGGCACACACACACACACACACAATTAATGATGTAGCTATCGTGGGCATTGTTTGTCCCATCTCCAAAACAATCAACTGCCTTAGCAAAATACCGGTAGCAATGTTAATGTATGACAACTTCTTCATAATTAACAGTATTGTCAGCTTCATAGCTAAAGTTGCTGAACTTACCCTCAGATTCAAGTCTGCGTTTCTTTATCTGGGAGGAGGCAGTGGTCCGCTGGGTGAGTTGACGCCTATTTGGCTGGGGAGGGCGATTGTATCCCAACCACAACTCTGGGAAAGGATTATCCTTGGTAGGTTTTTGGTCAACAAAGTGATAGGAACAAACAAAAACGTTGAGGGGTGGTTTCTTTAGATTCAATGCCTTCAGCCAGGTCCTTGATTCCGAGTCGGTATCAGGCTTGCGAAAAAATGTAAACAATGGAGCGCATGGACATTGCCTCTTTGTAGCTGGTTTGTGGTCATAGCACTCTCTATCTAACCACTCGTTCAGGTGCTTTCTCGAGTTTTTGCAACCAACTACCGCACACGTCGTTCCCGAACCACTTTTCTTCATGTTGTAATTGTAATTTTTATATCCTCTTTGTCACTGCGATATCAGTGCTTTGTCGGCACAACGGAGCTAGCTAGCAAAACAAACCCAGCCCGTCAGAACGGAACTGTATTGCATCGACGGGAGGAGTTCAGGAAGTAGAGCGGACACCATGCAAGAGGCTACAGAGAAATGGTGCGTATGTCCCTCTCCTCACCAAGTTGATTCTCTCCTCCAGCAGTCAGGTTTGAGTCTCTTCTGTTCTGTTCATTGGCCTCAATGGTGAACATCCTCCTCTCATCTTCTTCAACTTCTCCCCTAAGATCACAAGGTAGCAATGGTGTGCCATGTTAATCACACTGTATTATTGATCTACTCATCACTAAATGTTTACCATCCATTTTTACTGTCTTAAAATTGAATTAGAATCCCTCAAAGTTCACTGTAATATTGAGTAAACACATATTTTTCCAATCTTGTAGCTGGCATAATATGGGCATGTTATGCTTTGCAATGTTGATGACAATGGATTATTTATCTACTGGTGGCACACGTCACAAACATTTTAAGCTGGCATAATATGGGCATTTTATGGTACACAATTGTCATCACACTGGATTAATGATCCACTAGTCAACACCTCAAAATATGTTTACCAGCCATTTTGTCTGTGAAAATTTTTAGTTATATACCCACAAAGTTCCCTGTAATATAGAATAACCAATTATTTTACCCCATATTTTAAGATGGCATAATATGGGCATCGTATCATATGCAATGTTCATCACACTGGATTAATGATCTACTAGTGGCACACATCTAAATAAAAATTAAAAGTGTACCAGCCATTTTTTGTGAATTATTTTTATTTTTACATAGGGGTCATCAAAGTTCACTGTAACACTTTAAAAACATGATACAGAATGTGGGAGACCAAGTAAATGTAGATATTTAACACTTTTTTACATGTATAATCTCTCTTTAATTAAATACAAAGAAAAACATATCAAGCTCACTTAGATCTTGCTGTGAAGCTGTGTGTGTGTGTGTGTCTGTAGTGTACGGTGTATGTCATGACTTTAGCTCAACACATCTTGCTTTCACAATTTAACATTTGCTAAACAGCACCCCCAGTAGGCTACTGCAGCGTCTGCTGCCACACTCTACCCGTGATATCAATCATTTTTGAAAAGGCGCGAGAATGAAATAAACGTTTTGGTATGTTTTTTTAATGTGGAAGATTGAGTAAGTGTGCGTCAAACTGTTTTCTTGGAATGATTTGTAGCTATCGTCTCTATCAGTGCATCCGACTCATTTTCCCTACCAGAAAACAAGCGATACTGTAATGTGTAATGTATTTGCGCACCCCAATTCAGGAGGAAACTGAAGCGCGGTTGGCTTGACTTGCGTTTTGCGAGTGTCGGCTCTCTTGACTGTTAGACGGTATGTACAGAAGCCGCTGCAGTGTTACAGTTGAAATAAAAGTTTGTACACGTGATAAGTGTTTGTCGAATGAATAAATATGTCGTAATTGAAGAGTCAGATGAAGCACGTTGCTGTAATTGTGATGGGAATGACGTTCCGGAGTTCCCGCAGTAGCTAGGATCAGGGCTATCCAGCAAGGTCTCCTATGTGGAGGCAGTGAACATAGCTGAAGGAACGAGTGGAGATGAGGAAATAGTGGATGCCCCACAGCCTGCAGTGAATGCCTTTCAGGAGAAACACTAACAGTGAAGAAGGTGGACTTTATTGCGCACGTGATAAATTGTACAAGACAGACTAATAAAACATCTAAGAAACTAGACATCATTGTGAAGGCGGCAAAAATATTTATGTATCTCCAGGACTTGAATTGAAATGTTAGAGGGAATACTGAATGAAGAGGTTCCTGAGTCTGTGTAGGGATCTGAATAGTCATTTGAATCCGACTTAAGGAGTACATGTTTTTGGGGGGTTTATTTTTGAATACAATAAATATTTTTTCACCCTTGCCTTCTCCCTATTACTTTGCGTTAAAATGATGTTTTCACCCCATCCAGTAGGTGGAAGCACACACCTCAAATGTTTACCGACCGCCTTAATACCATAGAAGATGATATCTTGTGGAATTCAGTGCAGACTATATCGCCCAAGGTCAATAGTTCTAAACATGTAAATCGCTTACCTGTCCCGCCCTACATATTCTGAAATTGTATTTGTGTCCCCCCCCCCCCCAGCTTTATCATTGGAATGTGATACAAAACATGACCACGTGGATGCCTCGGAGCGGTCGGGGTAGGCTGTTTGGAGTGTTTATCCGACTGGATTTTAAAAAATGCCCCCCCCCCCCCCCCCCCCCCCACACTTCTAAAACCACAGTTACGCCCCTGATTTTAAGAACCAAATGGAAGCAAACAGAGCAAAACGAGGGTTTCTATTAGACAAATTAAGGTAGGTTCCTCGCCGTTTCGTTCCGTTTAACAAACGTTTTGCAGCTGAATCGTCAGCTCTGTTGGAGTTCATCAGAAACTTCCTTCAACATGTGGGGTTGAGTTTAGTTAGCTAATCTGAAACATATGGTGGAGAATGCGCACCAAGCACAGTGCCAATTGCAAATTCTTTGAAGGACAGCGGATGATTATAACGAAGCCATTAAAGTCACACTGTGATACAATGTCTAGCTACAAACTAACAAATTGCAATAATAAATATAATTATTTAGACGATGTTCCCACTGCGGATGTCGTGCATGCATGCGGACTAAGCAGTTTGTGCATGCATGCCATGCTGTTCATGAAATTGCAGATCTGTGCCATACAGTGGAATGGTCTCAGAAAGAAATTGAAGTGTTTTTATAAACGTTTGAACTATTTTAGTTGACATTAAGAATAAGTAGTGTTGGAAATCAGCCACTACGGATGACGTTGTCCAACAATGTTTTGATTCAATCGGTGACGTAATCCAGCACACAACAAATATGGTTCCCACTTAGTTTTGTGTCGAAACGTAAAGTGATAATTACTTTCAATGTGATTATTTGTTTTCTTAAAATTAAGGTATAAACGGATATACTAGGCAAGGGCTCAGATCATGGAAGCGGGTACAGAATCTGGACGCAAACTGGTGTGTAGCATTACCCTATTATAGCTAGCCGAGTTTGATTACTGTACGCGTTAGCTGAGCTATCAGTAGGCTATCATCAATAGCTAGCTAGCGTTACAGTGATCCTCATTAGTCAGAAGTGCCATGTCAATTTCGTTAAAATGTTGACAAAGTTCAGCTTTATGTAGTTACTTACATTTTACTTGTTTGGTCAATTATATAGCTAGGTAGCTAGCTACATTACATGATTCACAAGCCCGCTCAGCGAAACATTAAGGCAAGTGCAGCAGTTTCAACATTGTTGTGCATCTATTTTAGCACGTTATGTCAATGTTGATCCATGATATGATATCAGCGATTAATTGAGGTTATTAACTAACATTGTTTAATAATCTGTAAAGGTGTTTGCAGCAGAAGGCCCATCTACAACCACACATTGAGGTTTAGCCTAGCCATGTGCACGTGCACCACTGTTTTATTGTGATCTCTCAAGCCTACACAACAATGCACTGCATGGCCTACTCTTTTCTAATTGGAAAAGACAGCTCTTATTCAAAGCTATGCTTACATGTTCATTATATCATATTTTAAAAACACTGTTAGTAAGATGTAATAAATAATATATTGATATTGATAGATACTTTTATAACAGCTATTTTCATTCCTGTAGCGCTCCATCTGCCGGACAATGTACGACGAAAATGAGGACTTCTCTGACGTTGAAGAAATTGCTAATGTCAGGGGTTTCAATCTGGAGGAGAAACTTGTTAGCGACTCATACAACACACATTTCGTTCAGTTGATGGACGGCAAAGGTACACATCTGTTTCATTCATAAAATGTTACCACACACTCACAATCCCCCATGCAGACTCTTAACTGGCTGGACATGCACAATTTCTAAAAAAATTATGGATTCACACGTGAGGGCAAAAGTTCCCATTGGTTAATTCGTTTTTGTGCAGGATGTCCTCACAAATCCATGATATGCACACACGTCGCACATTGATTTACCTGAATATATATGCAGAAGTTATAATGGCTCACTGACTACCTACACTTTTTCTTCTTCTCAGATTTCACTTATGAGTATGTCCAGAGAGAGGCACTTCAGACCCCTCTTATTTTCAAAGCCAGAGATGGACTAGGGATCAGGTGAGACATGAGTAAAATCTGATGGCCTGTGAACAATACAATCATGTTTAGCCTATTATATACTATTTTTCTTACTTGGTTAAATATTAGGCTTTATGGAATGGTTTGATGTTAATATGCTTATCATGACTATATTCTTTAAAAAAAACAGAATGCCAGACCCGGAGTTCACCGTCAGTGAGATTAAAGGTTTGGTTGGTAAGTCTATCTGTTTTTAAATAGCAGGCAAAAAAGTAGGTAAATTATTCCTTTCCCTGCATCAATACTTATCTTAGACTCATCATTTAGTTTAGACAGCAGTGCCAACCTACTCCACAATACCCTGCATTTCTTGATGAATGAAAAGCATGCTACTGGAAAAGGTGTCAAAAAGTGTGTGGATGTTGATGTAAACTTCTGTAAGCCTGTAATGCAAAAATGAGACGACTCCAGACATTTGCAATGCAGATCCAATATATATAGGCCTATTCATATAGATTCTATATTTTAATCAGACTGATATCAGTTACAGTTAAATGGCTCTTTTTACTTGAGCTAAATTACCACTTATTTGATATCTCCAGGGCTCTACAGTGTGACCATTTTAGTCGCATATGCGCTTAAATATTTTTCTGTGCGACCTGGAATTTTAATTAAGGACCACCATTGCGCTTAGAAAAATGTAGGATTCTAGCTTTACTACCTCAAAGATTTTTAATTGTTCTCCTACATTTCTTTGTGTGCGCCAACATTTTCAATTTAGTGCACGTGGTCCTTGTTAAAAAGGTCAGTGTAGACTTGCCCTGCTCTCATGTCAGATGATGATAGTGTTCAGGGCAAGTTTTACTTTTTTATTATGGTACATAATGTATGTGTGCAGTGGTTCAGCAACTCCACCTGTTGGTAAAGGTGATGAACAACATGCATACAAATTGTATAGTTGTACCCAGGTTTACCTTAAGATTGCTGTGTTGGTGTTTGCAGGTAGCCGTCGTGCCGTTGATGTGATGGATGTGAGCACTCAGAAAGGCTCTGAGATGAGCATGGCCCAGTTTGTCCGCTACTACGAGACGCCTGAGAAAGAGCGGGACAAACTCTTCAATGTTATCAGTCTAGAGTTCAGTCACACCAAACTGGAGAACCTCATCAAGAGGCCCACTGTGGTGAGATGGCACTGGCAGTTTTTATTTCATGTGTTCATTATGAACGAGGGCAAATTTGATCGTGAATGCCAACTGTCAACTCTCTTATAGGTGGATTTAGTGGACTGGGTGGACAACATGTGGCCCCTAAAACTAAAACGAAGACAAACTGAAGCCACTAATGTCATCTCAGAGATGAAGTACCCCAAAGTACAGAAGTAAGTCGTTTAGAAATGTCATTAGTTATTGCATAGTATTTCCCATGCAATGTCAAAGTTTCTTTTTGATGTTTTAGCCTGTTTACAAAACGTAGTGGATTGTACCTAACAGGAAAATGCTCAAGCACAGGCCAAATTTTATTTTAAAAAGCTGTCAGAAAATTGCTGCTTTGCTGGGAGGAAATATTAGCCTACTCCTCCTCCTTTTTCCGAAGTCCCTCAGCCCGCTTCGCACTGCTGTTGTTCACTTCCTCTGATGGCTCTAGATGGTTGCTAGGCAGCGGGGCTCTTTCATGGTGGAGGGCGGTTCTTCACAGGGTGCAGAAGTGACTACGGATCCTCCTCAGCCAATGAGCTGCCAGCATTAGGGCATAGCTCGCACTCCAGAGCCAATTGTGCCCTCCCTTTCATCCTCTCTCTCCACTCTATCTTGCTCTCTTTCTTTCACTCTAATATTCTCTCTCCTTCTCCCAGTTTCTTACTCTCTCTCTTTACTAAATGGAGCCCTCCGTAGATGGAGAGGCAGGGAAATAAAAGCCAGAAATAAAAGCCATAGCAGTTCTCTCCTGTCTGGTCGGTGACCAGCGCATGGGGGGGGGCTGGTCCTGAGCGAACCGGCTCAGAGAGAGGAATAACTATCGGGTACGTCTCTGTCTTTCATTGGAAAAATCTGCTGGTATTTAGAAATGTCGGGAGTACTCTACCATGTCATTTCACTTCGATTTATTTCCCCCCTCTTTTAATGGATACGCTCATGGGCTGGTGTGATTGATTGTGAGTGTTGTTTGTAGTGGGATGTTGGGCTCTTAGCCCAGGGTCTGGTCACTCTCTGTCCATAGGAGAAACTGCTGCCAATAGGATGGGGATCTGTGTGTGTGATTATGTGAGTGTCTCACAGGTTCAGCAGATGGGCCCTCAGTTTATAATAATTGCAACAGACGGGGGTGGAGATAGTTCTATCATAAACATCTGTGAATGTGTAGGAGGCCTATATTTGCTTTTTTGTGTTTATTTGTCTGTGTTTGCAAGTCTGGTATTCATAATGTAAAGAGAGTGAATATGAAGTCTGTAAGCCATACAGTATTATGCGTCATGTTCCGTTGAGTGTAGATGATATTTATGTCTATACAATTGGCTCCAATCAAGCACCGTCCACAGGGTATGTCATGTTGTTGCAAAATGGAGTGATAGCCTTCCTTCTTCAATATCCCTTTTACCCTGTTCAAATCTCCCATTTTACCACCACCAAAGCACCCCCAGACCATCACATTGCCTCCACCATGCTTGACAGATGGCATCAAGCACTCCTCCAGCATCTTTTCATTTGGTCTGCGTCTCACAAATGTTCTTCGTTGTGATCCGAACACCTCAAACTTCGATTTTTTCTGTCCATAACACTTTTTCCCAATCTTCCTCTGTCCAGTGTCTGTGTTCTTTTGCCCATCTTAATCTTTTATTTTTATTGGCCAGTCTGAGATATGGCTTTTTCTTTGCAACTCTGCCTAGAAGGTCAGCATCCCGGAGTCGCCTCTTCACTGTTGACGTTGAGACTGGTGTTTTCGGGTACTATTTAATGAAGCTGCCAGTTGAGGACCTGTGAGGCATCTCTTTCTCAAACTAGACACTAATGTATTTGTCCTCTTGCTCAGTTGTGCACCGGGCCTCCCACTCTTCTTTCTATTCTGGTTAGATCCAGTTTGCGCTGTTCTGTGAAGGGAGTTGTACGAGATCTTCAGTTTCTTGGCAATTTCTCGCATGGAATAGCCTTCATTTCTCAGAACAAGAATAGACTGACGAGTTTCAGAAGAAAGTTCTTTGTTTCTGGCCATTTTGAGCCTGTAATCAAACCCACAATTGCTGATGCTCCAGATACTCAACTAGTCTCAAGAAGGCCAGTTTTATTGCTTCTTTAATCAGCACAACAGTTTTCAGCTGTGCTAACATAATTGCAAAAGGGTTTTCTAATCATCAATTAGCCTTTTTAAAATGATAAACTTGGATTAGCAAACACAACGTGCCATTGGAACACAGGACTGATGGGTTGCTGATAATGGGCCTCTGGACGCCTATGTTGATATTCCATTAAAAATCAGCCGTTTCCAGCTACAATAGCCATTTACAACATTAAAAATGTCTACACTGTATTTCTGATCAATTTGATGTTATTTTAATGGACAAAAAATTGCTTTTCTTTCGAAAACAAGGACATTTCTAAGTGACCACAAACCTTTGAACGGTAGTGTATAATAAAGAAATGTCAATAGAAAACAGGTAAAATGAAACCAAATGCAGCTAGTTTGCAGTCTATCCAGCTTCAGTTTGAAGTGATTGTGTTAGCTGTGTTGTTGGCTAGCTTCTCTGAACAACAGTGTCCTGACGAGAGAACACATTTTCTATGCCAGGCGAAATCGCACCTCATTAGCTCATTGTAATGGATGTATCCAAATAAATGTCACTAGAAAACAGCTTAAACAAACTCAAATGCAGCTACTTTGCTGTATTCTGGCTGCACTGTTTGACGTGACTGTAATTTAGCCGTAGTTGGCTAGCTAGCAAGCAAGGGATAAGAACTTTTCCAGCCAGTATGGCAATGGAACATTTAGAATGAACGACTGGGTCGCGCCCTTAGATACAGAACAAAAATACTTTAACAGTTGGGTCGCGTCTCTGGCAACCTAACCGATAGAACGAAAGACCAGCCGGCTTGGGTAGCAACCTCAGATTTGTATCGGGACTATATCTCGTGGAAGGATGAAATAGTATGGATGAGGTGTCCTTCTCCCTCAGAGTATGTGCTTACACTGGCAGTTACCACCATTACCTCAGTCAAGGTCATACTCCTGTAAACCCTCTCCTCGGGTCTCTCTGTGGGAGGGAGCAGATACACCACAGTGGGAAGGATGACAAGCCTGTATCTCTCTGACTGGCCTCATACAGTAGGAGCCAGCGGAGGCTGGAGAACTATAACTTAGCCCCCGACTTATGTAACTAGACCAAATTAAATGATATGTACGGATGAAATTAGCTGCGTTGACAGGATGGGAATGGTCTGTATTTTATGAGCTCTTGCGACTGACTGGATCAGAGGAGGCAAACAAGCTTGTATTGATCAGTTGGTGTTATGGAGGCTCCCTGGCGGACTCATGCTGCCAAGAGAGGTTATTTGTCCTGCAACAGGAACCGGGGTTGTGTCGATCAGTGTTTGGTATAGAATTGGTGTATTGTTTGTTCGTCACTGATGTTGGATGTCCCATGGCTTGAATAGTGGAATTACAACCCTGTAAAAGGCTTTGAATTAGAAATATCACAACCTTTTTTATCAAACACTCAGTGTGTGGTATGGATGGACCTGTAGCTAGCAATAATATTACCTGATGTAGGGTCTAGATCTGAGAAACCTGGCGAGTAGAATACCTGTGCTGACTTTAAAATGATCCCAGGGGAATGGATACACCATTTTGCAGTAGCCTACATACAAATCAAACCACCTAACAAAAATCATGACTGTGGCTTTAACCATAATGTGCATTGTTTCCCCTATATTCATTTAGCAGCTGTGGCCTGCAGCTGCTAAATAGTTGCCGCCACTCCAAAATAAATGATTTTTTATTTAAGTAAATGTTTATTTTGTTTTGAGAGAGAGAGAGAGAAAATTGCGATTGGTAAAACGTATTCCGTGTAAACTTAAAGCTGCAATATGTTACGTTTTGGGCGACCCAACCAAATTCACATACAAATATGTGTTTATAGATCTGTCATTCTCATTGAAAGCATGTCTAAGAAGTGGTAGATCTGTTCTATGTGCACTATTTCTATGCTTCCCGTTCTTAAGTTGAGTTTTTGCGTCTTTTACTTTCGGTTTTGTACACCAGCATCAAACAGAAATTAGGCGAACTATTAGAATTGTAGCAATTTTAGCCTTTTCTGCACAGTGCATCTTTAAATGACTAAAACCAGATATATAAAGTATGTAGAAAAGATAATGGCACTTAATATATTTTTAATAAGATCATCTTTGAGAACTGACAATCACAAAAATAAAACTAGACTGTCAAGGAGAATAAAACATTTAAAAAATGTGATGGCATGGGGCTCCCATTGATTTTGTTATAATATTTGATTCACTCCGATGCATAAGAACACAGCATAAGCCGTGGCAAAATGTGTAGAATTGCAGGAAATGAGCTTAAAACTAAACAAAAATTAGGAAATCTCTGCGGCCAAGAGGACAGCCTCTAAAAATGTTCGTTCAGAGACCGCGCCATTGGGCATGGCCACAGATTTATACATAGATTTAAGTCAAAACTGTAACTTGGACACTGAGGAACATTCACTGTCTTGGTAAGCAATTCCAGTAGATTTGGCCTTGTGTTTTAGGTTATTGTCCTTCTGAAAGGTGAATTCATCTCCCAGTGTCTGGTGGAAAGCAGACTGAACCAGGTTTTCCTCTAGGATTTTGCCTGTGCTTAGCTACATTTTTCTTTTTTATCATTAACTCCCCAGTCCTTAACGATTACAAGCATACCCATAACATGATGCAGCCACTACTATGTTTGAAAATATGGAGCGTGGTACTCCATAATGTTTGGGACAGATCCAATACAACACATAATACTTTTTATATTCAGGACAAAAAGTGAATTGCGATGACACATTTTTTGCAGTATTACTTTAGTGCCTTCATGCAAACATGATGCATGTTTTGGAATATTTTCATTCTGTACATGCTTCCTTTTCACTCTGTCAATTAGTTTAGTATTGTGGAGTAAAACTACAATGTTTTTTTCTTTCTCCTATCACAGCCATTAAACTCTAACTGTTTTAATGTCACCATTGGCCTCATGGTGAAATCCCTGAGCGGTTTCCTTCCTCTCCGGCAACTGAGTTAGAAAGGACGCCTGTATCTTTGTAGTGACTGGGTGTATTGATACACCGTCCAAAGTATAATTAATAACATCACCATGCTCAAAGGGATATTCAATGTCTGCTTATTTTTTATTTTTTACCTATCTACCAATAGGTGCCCTTCTTTGCGAGGCATTGGAAACCCTCCCTGGTTTTTGTGGTTGAATCTGTGTTTTGAAATTCACTGCTCGACTGAGGGACCTTACAGATAATTGTATGTGTGGGGTACAGAGATGAGGTAGTCATTCAAAAATCATGTTAAACACTATTATTGCACACAGAGTGAGTCCATGCAATTTATATGACTTGCTAAGCAAATTATTTCTCCTGAACTTTAGGCTTTCCATAAGAAAGGTGTTGAATACTTATCGACTCAAGACATTTCAACTTTTCTTTTTTAAATTAATGAGTAAAAATGGCAAAAAACATTCCACTTTGACATTATGGGGTATTGTGTGTGTGTGTGTTCTCTTAGCCCATTTGTGGTTATAGATTATTTTTGTTGTTGGTTGGAATACAGTATTGGTAGATGTAGCGAATTTCAACCAGATATTGGGGTTGTTCCAAATTGGTTGAACTGCTTGTTTCGAAGGAATAAATCAGACATTTTCGCCCAAATAGCTTCCATATTCAGTTGTACAACATGTACTGGAATGTTGCAATGCTATAGTTTCTGGGATAAGAACAGTGAACAAAAATGTGCTCACTGAATGTTTATTTTATATACTTGGTGACCATACTGCACGTTTTATTTACCCTTTTCTGTTCATGATGTTCATTCAGCTCAGTATCTAACCTATGGTCTTTATATGGTCCCTCAGGTTCATTATAACTATGCAGATGCAGGGTCTCTTCATCCATCCCTCTCATCTCTCCTCTGTAGGTACTGTTTGATGAGCGTGAAGGGCTGCTATACTGACTTCCATATTGATTTCGGGGGCACGTCTGTGTGGTATCACGTTTTCAAGGGAGGGAAGGTAAGTTCATGTATTTTTTTTATAGTATGTGACAAACATCAGTGCATCCACCTGAGTCTCTGGTGTACCCTCCCCCAATGCTGGTACTGTATATGTATCAGATTTCTGTAGAAGCGCTACAAATTAACCTGTCCCCTGTTTGTCTCAGCGATGGCTGCAGAAGTCACAGGATTGTTGCTAGGGTGTCCGTATGCACGCCTTTGAGGGATCTCATTATATAAACTGGCAAAGGTCAAGCTAGAGCAAGAAGAGGAAGAGAAACATTGTGATAGGATAGTCAAATCTACGAAATGTGCTGACTTCTCTAATATAAGATGTAACCTTGAGTACTGTTAACATAGAAATATCACCCTTGTTTTAGATGTTTACCAAAGCTGCATCCCCAACTTTTCACACCCTGTCCTGTCCTCAGGTGTTCTGGCTGGTGCCTCCGACGCCTCATAACCTTGCCCTGTATGAGGACTGGGTTCTGTCAGGCAAGCAGAATGACATCTTCCTGGGAGACCGTGCAGATGGCTGCCAGAGGGTGGAGCTGAAACAGGGCTACACCTTCTTCATCCCCTCTGGTGAACTGCCTAGCATTGAGTTTTGATGTATTCCTATCATATTATCGTTAAGATTATCGTAACAAACCATACAGTACATGCACTGCTTTATTCAAGCATGTGTTTGAGGACATGTTTGGGCATGCTATGTCTGTCTATGTTTTCAGTGGGTCAGCTGGTTCTCATGATGTTTGGCTGGCTGTCCTGTTTCAGGCTGGATTCATGCAGTCTACACCCCTGAGGACACGCTGGTGTTCGGCGGCAACATTCTGCACAGCTTTAACATTCCCATGCAACTCTCTATCTATGAGATAGAGAACAGGACTAAGGTAGGCTGTCATACAGGTGTCCCACTTCTGACGCTTCATTCCAGCTATGACCATTAGTAAATCTAAACTGTGTCTCTACAATGAAGATGGATGGGGAAACAGCCTTACCGCATACAAACAAGTCAAGGTCACTTAGTTTGCTGCGTCAATGAGTGTGAGAACTGAATAGGCCCTTCCTCAGCCATACCTCTTTTGGTTTTTACAGATCTGAACAGGATAGGTGAAGTAATATGAAAGAAGCTAGGGATTGGAATGGGACTGGGCAGGAATGTAACACCGTAAGGCACACAAGTGCTGAATGTGCAGTCATTTGCATTACCATCCAATTGAGAAGCAGACTGATATGCTAATGGTTTGCAGATGAGAATGAGGGCTTTTCCCCCCCTGCTTTTATTAAAAATGCCATCCATATTCATGTGGAAATGGAGTCTGTGACAGGAGTGCCTGTTTAATCAGAATACAGCTCTACAAGGACTGAAATGAGTCATGGAGCTTGTTTCATATTAGCAGCCAGGAAAGAGGGACAAGCCTGTAGGCCTATTTGTTTATCTCATCTTTTCACACAAACTCCCAAGGGCTTCATATGTTGATCAAATATTATGTATGACACCCGACAAGGCCCAAATCCCTGTCATTCGCAGGAGAAAGAGACAGAGATATCGTGGACGTAGGTTGGGGTGCCTCGTAAGGATCCGACGGCGAGCGAGTAAACTGCCTCTTCCATCAATCCTATTAGCCAATCTTCAATCATTGGAAATTAAATTAGATTACCTAAGATTACGCTTATCCTACCAACGGGACATTAAAAACTGTAATATTTTATGTTTCACCGAGTCGTGGCTGAACGACGACATGGACAGCATAGCTAGCGGGCTATACGCTACATCGGCAGGATAGAACGTCTGACTCTGGTAAGACAAGGGGTGGCGGTTTGTGTATATTTGTAAACAACAGCTGGTGCACAAAATCAAATACTAAGGAAGTCTCGAGGTTTTGCTCGCCTGAGGTAGAATATCTTATGATAAGCTGTAGACCACACTATTTACCAAGAGAGTTCATCTATATTTTTCATAGCTGTCTATTTACCACCACAAACCAATGCTGGCATTAAGATTGCACTCAATGAGCTGTATAAGGCCATAACTAAACAGGAAAACGCTCATCCAGAGGCAGCGTTCCTAGTGGCCGGGGACTTTAATGCAGGGAAACTTAAATCCGTTCGACCTCATTTCTACCAGCATGTTAAATGTGCAACCAGAGGAAAAAAACTCTAGACCACCTTTACTCCACACACAGAGACACATACAAAGATCTCCTTCGCCCTCCATTTGGCAAATCTGACCGTAACTGTATCCTCCTGATTCCTGCTTATAAGCAAAAACTAAAGCAGGAAACACCAGTGACTCGGTTAATAAAAAAAAGTGGTCAGATGACGCAGATGCTAAGCTACAGGACTGTTTTGCTAGCACAGACTGGAACATGTTCCGGGATTCTTCAGATAGCATTGAGGAGTACACCACATCAGTCACTGGCTTCATCAATAAGTGCATCGATGACGTCGTCCCCACAGTGACCGTACGTACATACCCCAACCAGAAGCCATGGATTACAGGCAACATCCGCACTGAGCTAAAGGGTAGAGCTGCCGCTTTCAAGGAGCGGGACTCTAACCTGGACGCTTATAAGAAATCCCGCTATGCCCTCCGACGAACCATCAAACAGGCAAAGAGTCAATACAGGACAAAGATTGAATCGTACTACACCGGCTCTGACGCTCGTCGGATGTTGCAGGGCTTGAAAACTATTACAGACTACAAAGGGAAGCCAGACGCGAGCTTCCCAGTGACACAAGCCTACCAGACGAGCTAAACCACTTCTATGCTCGCTTTGAGGCAAGCAACACTGAAGCATGCATGAGAGCACCAGCTGTTCCGGATGACTATGTAATCATGCTCTCCGTAGCTGATGTTCACAAGGCCGCAGGGCCAGACAGATTACCAGGACGTGTACTCCGGTCATGTGCTGACCAACTGGCAAGTGTCTTCACCGACATTTTCAACATGTCCCTGACTGAGTCTGTAATATGTTTCAAGCAGACCACCATAGTCCACGTGCCCAAGAACACTAAGATAACCTGTCTAAATGACTACCGACCTGTAGCACTGACGTCTGTAGCCATGAAGTGCTTTGAAAGGCTGGTCATGGCTCACATCAACACCATTATCCCAGAAACCCTAGACCCACTCCAATTTGCATACCGCCCCAACAGATCCACAGATGATGCAATCTCTATTGCACTCCACACTGCCCTTACCCACCTGGACAAGAGGAACACCTACGTGAGAATGCTATTCATTGACTACAGCTCAGCGTTCAACACCATAGTGCCCTCAAAGCTCATCACTAAGCTAAGGATCCTGGGACTAAACACCTCCCTCTGCAACTGGATCCTGGACTTCCTGACGGGCCGCCCCCAGGTGGTAAGGGTAGGTAGCAACACATCTGCCACGCTGCTCCTCAACACGGGGGCCCCTCAGGGGTGCGTGCTCAGTCCCCTCCTGTACTCCCTGTTCACCCATGACTGCATGGCCAGGCACGACTCCAACACCATCATTAAGTTTGCCGACGACACAACAGTGGTAGGCCTGATCACCGACAACGATGAGACAGCCTATAGGGAGGAGGTCAGAGACCTGGCCGTGTGGTGCCAGGATGACAACCTCTCCCTCAACGTGACCAAGACAAAGGAGATGATTGTGGACCACAGCGGGAAAAAAATAGGACTGAGAACGCCCCCATTCTCATCGACGGGGCTGTAGTGGAACAGGTTGAGAGCTTCAAGTTCCTTGGTGTCCACATCACCAACGAACTGTCATGGCCCAAACACACCAAGACAGTCGTGAAGAGGGCACGACAAAGCCTATTCCCCCTCAGGAGACTGAAAATAATTGGTATGGGTCCTCAGATCCTCAAAAAGTTATACAGCTGCACCATCGAGAGCCTCCTGACTGGTTGCATTACCGCCTGGTATGGCAACTGCTTGGCCTCCGACCGCAAGGCACTACAGAGGGTAGTGCGTACGGCCCAGTACATCACTGGGGCCAAGCTTCCTGCCATCCAGGACCTCTATACCAGGCAGTGTCAGAGGAAGGCCCTCAAAATTGTCAGACTCCAGCCACCCTAGTCATAGACTGTTCTCTCTGCTACCGCACGGCAAGCGGTACCGGAGCGCCAAGTCTAGGTCCAAAAGGCTTCTCAACAGCTTCTACCCCCAAGCCATAAGACTCCTGAACAGCTAATCATGGCTACCCAGACTATTTGCACTGCCCCCCCACCCCCACCCCATATTTTTACGCTGCTGCTACTCTGTTAATTATTTATGCATAGTCACTTTAACTCTACCCACATGTACATATTACCTCAACTAGCTGGTGCCCCCGCACATTGACTCTGCACCGGTACCCCCCTGTATATAGCCTCCCTACTGTTTTTACTTCTGCTCTTTTTTTCTCCACCTTTTTGTTGTTTTATTTTACATTTTTATTGAGAAATAAATGCGTTGTTGGTTAAGGGCTGTAAGTAAGCATTTCATGGTAATGTCTACACCTGTTGTATTCGGCGCATGTGGCAAATAAAATTTGATTTGATTTTGTGTGTATGCATGTGTTTGTACTGTATGACCTATACAGAGGGATGCCTAGAAAGATTTCACCCTCCTTATTCTGATATTCTTTACAATAATATGATCAGAGTAGTTATTGTAATGATATGGATGCAAGTCCTGCAGGCTTTGCGATTTATATGGATACTTGGTTGAATGTGGCTTTCTCAGATATGATGGATAGCTGGTAGGAAGCTTCAGCTTTGCAGGTAGTATAGTACTATTTTTGTTTCTGCTGGAGAAGAGGCATGAGCAAAACAACAGCGACAGTTTCATATGCTCCCCAGGGCTGGGCACGTTATGTTCGCTCTATTTTTACACCTGAAGATAGAAATGGTGTTAGAGAAAGGAAATGATCATCACTTTTGAAAACAAAACCCTTGTTGGCAATCACAGAGGTCAGACGTTTCTTGTTGTTGGCCACCAGGTTAGCACACATCTCAGGAGGGAAAAAATTGTAGGAGATTAAACATGGTAATGACTACTCTCGTTGTCTTTTTATTAAGCCTTTTGTTCTCTCAGATTGTGAAAGTTTCTTTCCAAACTCGTTTCAGGTTAATTCCAAGTTCCGCTACCCATTCTACCATGAGATGTGCTGGTATGTCCTGGAGAGGTACGTGCACTGTCTGACCAAGCGTTCCCATCTCACTCCGGAGTTCCGTAGAGAGCCTCTGCTAATCGGTGAGTGAGCCCAGCTAATGGCGCTATTTAACCCCGAGTGTGTCTATGAATACTGGTTCTATCCTGAGAGCTCTTATGGGGAGCCTTGCCTTGCACTCTTGTTGTAATTAAATCAAATCATATGTTATTTGTCACATGCGCCAAATACAACCGGTGTAGACTTTACAGTGAAATGCTTACTTAACCAACAATGCAGTTTTAAGAAAAAATATGTTTTAAGTGAAAGATAGATCAGTAAAACATTTAAGAGTTGCAGTAAAATAACAGTAGTGAGGCTGTATACAGGGGGTACCGGTACAGAGTCAATGTGCGGGGGCACAGGTTAGTCGAGGTAATTGAGGTAATATGTACATGTAGGTAGAGTTAAAGTGACTATGCATAGATAATAAACAGAGATAAACAGATAGTAGCAGCAGCGTAAAAGAGGGGGTGGGGACAATGCATATAGTCCGGGTAGCCATTTGATTAGCTGTTCATGAGTCTTATGGCTTGTGGGGTAGAAGCTGTTAAGAAGCCTTTTGGACCTAGACTTGGCACTCCGGTATCGCTGGCTGGAGTCTTTTGATAATTTTTAGGGCCTTCCTCTGACACCGCCTGGAATAGAGGTCCTGGATGGCAGGAAGCTTGGCCTCAGTGATGTACTGGGCCGTATGCACTACCCTCTGTAGTGCCTTGCGGTCGGAGGCTGAGCAGTTGCCATACCAGGCAGTGATGCAACCAGTCAGGATGCTCTCGATGGTGCAGCTGTAGAACGTTTTGAGGATCTGAGGACCTACAGTAAGGGGGAAAAAGTATTTGATCCCCTGCTGATTTTGTACGTTTGCCCACTGACAAAGACATGATCAGTCAAAAATGTTATAAATTGATTTGCATTTTAATGAGGGAAATAATTATTTGACCCCCTCTCAATCAGAAAGATTTCTGGCTCCCAGGTGTCTTTTATACAGGTAATGAGCTGAGATTAGGAGCACACTCTTAAAGGGAGTGCTCCTAATCTGAGCTTGTTACCTGTATAAAAGACACCTGTCCACAGAAGCAATCAATCAATCAGATTCCAAACTCTCCACCATGGCCAAGACCAAAGAGTTCTCCAAGGATGTCAGGGACAAGATTGTAGACCTACACAAGGCTGGAATGGGCTACAAGGCCATCGCCAAGCAGCTTGGTGAGAAGGTGACAACAGTTGGTGCGATTATTCGCAAATGGAAGAAACACAAAATAACTGTCAGTCTCCCTCGGCCTGGGGCTCCATGCAAGATCTCACCTCGTGGAGTTACAATGATCATGAGAACGGTGAGGAATCAGCCCAGAACTACACGGGAGGATCTTGTCAATGTTCTCAAGGCAGCTGGGACCATAGTCACCAAGAAAACAATTGGTAACACACTGAGCCGCGAAGGACTGAAATCCTGCAGCGCCCGCAAGGTCCCCCTGCTCAAGAAAGCACATATACAGGCCCGTCTGAAGTTTTGCCAATGAACATCTGAATGATTTAGAGGAGAACTGGGTGAAAGTGTTGTGGTCAGATGAGACCAAAATCGAGCTCTTTGCCATCAACTCAACTCGCCGTGTTTGGAGGAGGAGGAATGCTGACTATGACCTCAAGAACACCATCCCTACCGTCAAACATGGAGGTGGAAACATTATGCTTTGGGGGTGTTTTTCTGCTAAGGGGACAGGACAACTTCACTGCATCAAAGGGACGATGGACGGGGCCATGTACCGTCAAATCTTGGGTGAGAACCTCCTTCCCTCAGCCAGGGCATTGAAAATGAGTCATGGATGGGTATTCCAGCATGACAATGACCCAAAACACACGGCTAAGGCAACAAAGGAGTGGCTCAAGAAGAAGCACATTAAGGTCCTGGAGTGGCCTTGCCAGTCTCCAGACCTTAATGCCATAGAAAATCTGTGGAGGGAGCTGAAGGTTCGAGTTGCCAAACGTCAGCCTCGAAACCTTAATGACTTGGAGAAGATCTGCAAAGAGGAGTGGGACAAAATCCCTCCTGAGATGTGTGCAAACTTGGTGGCCAACTACAAGAAACGTCTGACCTCTGTGATCGCCAACAAGGGTTTTGCCACCAAGTACTAAGTCATGTTTTGCAGAGGGGTCAAATACTTATTTCCCTCATTTAAAATGCAAATCAATTTATAACATTTTTGACATGCATTTTTCTTGATTTTTTTGTTGTTATTCTGTGTCTCACTGTTCAAATAAACCTACCATTAAAATTATAGACTGATTATGGCTTTGTCAGTGGGCAAACGTACAAAATCAGCAGGGGATCAAATACTTTTTTTCCCTCACTGTATGCCAAATCTTTTCAGTCTCCTGAGGGGGAATAGGCTTTGTCGTGCCCTCTTCATGACTGTCTTGGTGTGTTTGGACCATGATAGTTTGTTGGATGTGGACACCAAGGAACTTGAATCTCTCAACCTGCTCCCCTACAGCCCCGTCGATTACCACTCACAAGTGGGTAATGCTCTTATCCTTTGGAAAGAGCCAATGATATGACACATCTGTTTAATCAGTGAGATTGCCTTCTCATAGAAATGAGGATGATGATAATAATATTATAATAATATTCCATTTAGCAGACGCTTTTATCCAAAGCGATTTACAGTCATGTGTGCATACATTTTTACGTATGGGTGGTCCCGGGGATCGAACCCACTACCCTGGCGTTACAAGCGCCATGCTCTACCAATTGAGCTACAGAGGACCACAATAGCATGATGAAAGTGACTGAAATTATAATCTGACCGCAATGGTTACACAGCAGATTGGTTCCCTCATCTTTGCTCATCCTCCTTCTCTTCCTCAGACTTGGAGACTAAGATGAGCACAGAGAGCCCCTCCTCTGACTCCCGGAGTCAGGACATGGACGAGGAGGACTCCTGCGAGACGCAGCAGGGACGAGGTGAACAGGGTGACCGGTCTGCATTTGATGATCCCTGCTCTCCTGATAACAGGAAGGGTAATCCCAGCGGCCCTCAGCACCTCAAAGCTGCCTTGTCCAATGACTCTGAAGACAGCTGCATCCCCACCTCCACCCAGCCTCCAGAGTTCCCCAAAACCCCCTTTGCCTCGCCAGTCTCAGAGTCTCAGAGTAAATGGACTCATCTGACTGAGTTTGAACTAAAGGGCCTCAAGGCCCTTGTGGAGAAACTGGAAGCACTCCCCGAAAATAAGAAGTGTGTTCCAGATGGCATCAAGGACCCCCAGGCCCTGCTGGATGACATGAAGGTATGTGCCTCATCCAACTTAGTTCTCATGTATTTTCTGTCTTGTGTATACACTACCGTTCAAAAGTTTGGGGTCACTTAGAAATGTCCTTGTTTTCCATGAAAACATACATGAAATGAGTTTGAATAGGAAATATAGCAAAATGCATAGGAAATAATGATTTTTAATAAAAATAATAATTGTGTCCTTCAAACTTTGCTTTCGTCAAAGAATCCTCCATTTGCAGCAATTACAGCTCTGTCCATAGGAGAAACTGCTGCCAATAGGATGGGGATCTGTGTGTGTGATTATGTGAGTGTCTCACAGGTTCAGCAGATGGGCCCTCAGTTTATGATAATTGCAACAGACGGGGGTGGAGATAGTTCTATCATAAACATCTGTGAATGTGTAGGAGGCCTATATTTGCTTTTTTGTGTTTATTTGTCTGTGTTTGCAAGTCTGGCATTCATAATCTAAAGAGAGTGAATATGAAGTCTGTAAGCCATACAGTATTATGTGTCATGTTCCGTTGAGTGTAGATGATATTTGTCTATACAACGGGTGGGTCTAATCCTGGACGCTGATTGGTTAAAACCGCATTCCAGCTGGTGTCTATTCCACAAATTACCACCGGCTAAAGCTATGACGTTGAAATGCCTATTTAATCTGTTCCATCTCACTGCGCAATTCACTGTCTCATCAGCCCAGCCAGGCAATTTATAAACTTGATCTCCACTATAAAAAGCATCTAGACATTATCTCGGGACGAGACAGACAGACAGGCAGACAGCTTTTCTCAACCAGTCGAAATCATGAATCAGCTGGCATCATTTTTATGGATGGATATATATATATATATATATATATATATATATATATATATATATATATATATATATATATAGTTTGGGGTCACTTAGAAATGTCCTTGTTTTCCATGAAATGAGTTTGAATAAGAAATATAGCAAAATGCATAGGAAATGTAGTCATTGACAAGGTTAGAATGATTTTTAATTGAAATAATAATTATCCTTCAAACTTTGCTTTCATCAAAGAATCCTCCATTTGCAGCAATTACAGCCTTGCAGACCTTTGGCATTCTAGTTGTCAATTTGTTGAGGTAATCTGAAGAGATTTCACCCCATGCTTCCTGAAGCACCTCCCACAAGTTGGATTGGCTTGATGGGCACTTCTTACGTACCATACGGTCAAGCTGCTCCCACAACAGCTCAATAGGGTTGAGATTCAGTGACTGTGCTGGCCACTCCATTATAGACAGAATACCAGCTGACTGCTTCTTCCCTAAATAGTTATTGCATAGTTTGGAGCTGTGCTTTGGGTCATTGTCCTGTTGTAGGAGGAAATTGGCTCCAATCAAGCACCGTCCACAGGGTATGGCATGGCGTTGCGAAATGGAGTGATAGCCTTCCTTCTTCAAGATCCCTTTTACCCTGTTCAAATCTCCCACTTTACCACCACCAAAGCACCCCTAGACCATCACATTGCCTCAACCATGCTTGACAGATGGCATCAAGCACTCCTCCAGCATCTTTTAATTTGGTCTGCGTCTCACAAATGTTCTTCTTTGTGATCCGAACACCTCAAACTTCGATTCGTCTGTCCATAACACTTTTTCCCAATCTTCCTCTGTCCAGTGTCTGTGTTCTTTTGCCCATCTTAATCTTTTCTTTTTATTGGCCAGTCTGAGATATGGCTTTTTCTTTGCAACTCTGCCTAGAAGGTCAGCATCCTGGAGTCGCCTCTTCACTGTTGACGTTGAGACTGGTGTTTTGCGGGTACTATTTAATGAAGCTGCCAGTTGAGGACCTGTGAGGCGTCTGTTTCTCAAACTAGACACTAATGTATTTGTCCTCTTGCTCAGTTGTGCACCGGGGCCTCCCACTCCTCTTTCTATTCTGGTTAGATCCAGTTTGCACTGTTCTGTGAAGGGAGTAGTACCCAGCGTTGTACGAGATCTTCAGTTTCTTGGCAATTTCTCGCATGGAATAGCCTTCATTTCTCAGAACAAGAATAGAGTTTCAGAAGAAAGTTCTTTGTTTCTGGCCATTTTGAGCCTGTAATCAAACCCACAATTGCTGATGCTCCAGATACTCAACTAGTCTCAAGAAGGCCAGTTTGATTGCTTCTTTAATCAGCACAACAGTTTTCAGCTGTGCTAACATAATTGCAAAAGGGTTTTCTAATGATCAATTAGCCTTCTAAAATGATAATCTTGGATTAGCAAACACAACGTGCCATTGGAACACAGGACTGCTGGGTTGCTGATAATGGGCCTCTGTACACCTATGTAGATATTCCATAAAAAATCAGCCGTTTCCAGCTACAATAGCCATTTACAACATTAACAATGTCTGCACTGTATTTCTGATCAATTTGATGTTATTTTAATGGACAAAATAATTGTTTTTCTTTCGAAAACAAGGACATTTCTAAGTGACCACAAACTTTTGAATGGTAGTGTATATCTGGATGTACAAGTACAAAACACAGGAACATACTTTACTCTTCTATCCGTTCCCCAGGTTGTCTTGAAGGAACATGAAGACGATGATCCCAAAATGGCTGCTACTGGAGTACCTGTGGTGTTCTGGCCCAAGAAGTCTGCCAAGGTGAGAATGCATGTTTGTTTCCTCAGTATTGTTTCTTTCATCTGATATCCTGCCTGTCCTCATTCTCTCTGTCTTGGACCAGTGAAGTAGGGATCATGTCCTATGGGAGAGTGGGGTAAGTTGAGCCACCCTTGTTTCTAGGAAACCATACAGAAAATTAACAATTTGACCAAATATTTAGGAAGAGGTCCTCATTTCATGGAGTCTGTGAAGGAAGAAATCACATGGGAAAAGTGGTAACAAGTTAGGTCCAAAAAACTGATTTTCATTTGTTAGAGGTTTCATGATGCTTCTATCTAAACCAAAGTAGATAATTTGAAGATTGTTCTATACATCAGTTGGGGTCTATATAAGCTTCAATATGAGGTCCTAAACCTAGCATGAAAGCGCATCCTTTTAACTGTGTGGGTTAATATAGTCAAAATGTTTGCCCTAGGTTAAGTTGAGCCAATGGCAAGTTAAGCATATTTGAAGTGTTTTCTTCCCAGGTCTAATGCAAGTCATTATCGCTGGGATATGAGGTAACAGCAGGGCCTGGCCTATGTTAAGTGTTAAAAAAGTACAATGTATTTGTTAGGTGTTAAGCGCTGTTAAAATATGCTTTAAAGTATTAAAAGACTAAAAGTGATTGTGTTGAATTGTTTGGGAAATAAAGATGGACATGGTGTAATATTTCATTCAGTACAGAAATCTGAAGGTGGCAAATTACCCAGGGTAAGTTGTTCCAAGAGACAATTTTTTGGGACAAGTTATGTTTTCAAAACGATTGTTTACATGAATTCTGACTATTTCCAGGGATACACAACATCCTGAAATGTATGCAGATATCTTTGTTAGAAAGAATACTATACAGTGCATTCGGAAAATATTCAGACCCCTTGACGTTTTCCACATTTTGTTACGGTACAGCCTTATTCTAAAATTGATTCAATTGTTTTTACCCCCTCATCAATCTACACACAATACCCCATAATGACAAAGCAAAAACCTTTTTTTATTATTTCTTTGCTTAAAGATTAAGAAACTGAAATATAACATTTATATAAGTATTCAGACCCTTTACTCAGTACTTTGTTGAAGCACCTTTGGCAGCGATTACAGCCTTGAGTCTTCTTGGGTATGACGCTACAAGCTTGGCACACCTGTATTTGGGAGTTTCTCCCATTCTTCTCTGCAGATCCTCTCAAGCTCTGTCAGGTTGGATGGGGAGCTTCGCTGCACAGCTATTTACAGGTCTCTCCAGAGATGTTCGATCAGGTTCAAGTCCGGGCTCTGGCTGGGCCACTCAAGGACATTCAGAGACTTGTCCCGAAGCCACTCCTGCGTTGTCTTGGCTGTGTGCTTAGGAGTGATGCTGAATGTAAGAAATGGCTCAACTTACCCCTCTCCCCTATTTCTGGTGTGTGTGTGTCACTCTCTCTCACTTCATTCTCTCCTTCCCTAGAGCAGAGGCTGTACTTATTTCCATAAAATCGACTTAGCGGGCTGCAGAGTTGCCTAATGAGGAAGACAATGAGATTCTCCATGTTTTGCTCCTCATCTTCATGTCACAGCTGGGTCTGTTGGATAATTAACATTGTTTTTAAGTGTTCTTGTTTACCAAGCAAGAGCTTTGCGCTAAATGATAAAAGGTTCCCTTTCAGTCAGTCACTCAGTATAACATACTATGGGGAGTCAACGATCAATCCTGTTCACCTGAAGCAATCTAAAATCACGGCCAACGAGCCAATGTATGCCGCATCCATTTCCTTAATTCTTTGCTCTTCAGGTCGCAATTTGTAAACTTTTCAAGCACATGAAGGCTACGAGATTCGCCTCCGACTTAGGTGTCTGTTAGTGGGGAGAGAGTACTCGTCCCCCTAGATGTTGCAAGTTTTGGGCCTGGGGCCTTGGTATGGTTTTTGTGTTTGCTAAAAGCCAACTACTTTCTGCTCTGCTTGTAGCCAGTGCTTCCTTGCTTGAGTAAAATGGCCAGTCGTAAGAGGAAGTTCAAAAAGGCTAACCAGCCGGGTTTGAACCTCCGACCATGCTCTAGGGCATGTTGTTTCAAAATGAAAAGGAACGATACCCATCATTGAACAATGATGTGACATCATTTACTTTAAGTTTTCTGACAGTTGCTTTTTTGCTTGCATGCCATTTATTGCTGGCTAGACTAGCCTAGACCATACTTAAAGGGAGATGGCAAAGACGTGTTATGATTGGTCCGTCTGTATTTGTTCAGGCTTGATTGCATTGCAGATGGAAACTTATCGCGGCAAATTCAAATGGGTTTATGCAGATAGAACTTTCAAATTTTTCACTTAAAATGTACTTTTTCAAAAATTAACTTCACAGACATACTGTATGAAGAACCATCTAAAGATCTATTATATGTAACTAACTAATTTGACAATGTCAGAACCTTGTAGTCCCAAGGTCTCGATTTGTAGCTGAACAAGTCATTGCATGTATAGATTTTTTCTTTTTTACTTGACTTGAAAAAACTTGACTTGCTCTTAGAATGCATGACTTGGACTTGACTCGAGACTTTACCTGTTCTACTTGGGACTTGATTTGAGACTTGGACCTTGTGACTTAAGACTTGCTTGTGACTCGAATAATAGTGACTTGGTCCCACCTCTGGTGATAACTGTGCACAACAAGTTGGGGTTCCCCAAATACCTTTTGTGAGATTTTATCACTTGGATATACAGTGGGGAGAACAAGTATTTGATACACTGCCGATTTTGCAGGTTTTCCTACTTACAAAGCATGTAGAGGTCTGTAATTTTTTATCATAGGTACACTTCAACTGTGAGAGACGGAATCTAAAACAAAAATCCAGAAAATCACATAGTATGATTTTAAAGTAATTAATTTGCATTTTATTGCATGACATACATATTTGATCACCTACAAACCAGTAAGAATTCCGGGTCTCACAGACCTGTTAGTTTTTCTTTAAGAAGACCTCCTGTTCTCCACTCATTACCTGTATTAACTGCACCTGTTTGAACTTGTTACCTGTATAAAAGACACCTGTCCACACACTCAATCAAACAGACTCCAACCTCTCCACAATGGCCAAGACCAGAGAGCTGTGTAAGGACATCAGGGATACAATTGTAGACCTGCACAAGGCTGGGATGGGCTACAGGACAATAGGCAAGCAGCTTGGTGAGAAGGCAACAACTGTTGGCGCAATTATTAGAAAATGGTGACGGTCAATCACCCTCGGTCTGGGGCTCCATGCAAGATCTCACCTCGTGGGGCGTCAATGATCATAAGGATGGTGAGGGATCAGCCCAGAACTACACGGCAGGACCTGGTCAATGACCTGAAGAGAGCTGGGACCACAGTCTCAAAGAAAACCATTAGTAACACACTATGCCGTCATGGATTAAAATCCTGCAGTGCACGCAAGGTCCCCCTGCTCAAGCCAGTGCATGTCCAGGCCCGTCTGAAGTTTGCCAATGACCATCTGGATGATCCAGAGGAGGAATGGGAGAAGGTCATGTGGTCTGATGAGACAGAAATAGAGCTTTTTGGTCTAAACTCCACTCGCTGTGTTTGGAGGAAGAAGAAGGATGAGTACAACCCCAAGAACACCATCCCAACCGTGAAGCATGCACCGTATAGAGGGGAGGATGGATGGGGCCATGTATCGCGAGATCTTGGCCAACAACCTCCTTCCCTCAGTAAGAGCATTGAAGATGGGTCGTGGCTGGGTCTTCCAGCATGACAACGACCCGAAACACACAGCCAGGGCAACTAAGGAGTGGCTCCGTAAGAAGCATCTCAAGGTCCTGGAGTGGCCTAGCCAGTCTCCAGACCTGAACCCAATAGAACATCTTTGGAGGGAGCTGAAAGTCCGTATTGCCCAGCGACAGCCCGAAACCTGAAGGATCTGGAGAAGGTCTGTATGGAGGAGTGGGCCAAAATCCCTGCTGCAGTGTGTGCAAACCTGGTCAAGACCTACAGGAAACGTATGATCTCTGTAATTGCAAACAAAGGTTTCTGTACCAAATATTAAGTTCTGCTTTTCTGATGTATCAAATACTTATGTCATGCAATAAAATGCAAATTAATTACTTAAAAATCATACAATGTGATTTTCTGGATTTTTGTTGATAAAAATTACAGACCTCTACGTGCTTTGTAAGTAGGAAAACCTGCAAAATTGGCAGTGTATCAAATACTTGTTCTCTCCACTGTATATTATTTAGTATATGTAAAGATTAAATCAAGAATAGTCTGATGGGTGACAATATTAGCCTATCACTTGTGAATTATATATTATAATTTGTGAATGACGCCCAGCATAAGAAACAATACCTTTTTTTTGTGACTTATTCAGGTTGAAGTGTTCCTATGATAAAAATTACAGACCTCTACATGCTTTGTAAGTAGGAAAACCTGCAAAATCTGCAGTGTATCAAATACTTGTTCTCTCCACTGTAGCTGCTCCCAGTGTGGCTCATAGTGTTCTTATGGCTGGGTCCAGGAGTGGGTTTTAGGCAGCGCGCAGGTTGCACTTTATACAGGTTACCACAGTTCGCTGTGGGTTTGAGCCTTGGGTGCCGTGGCAGCACGCGAGTACACTGTTTCCGGGTCAATGCAGGCTTCCTGTGGGTTTGAGCCTCGGGCTGATGTGAATCATCGACTCTGGTCGATGCAATGCATCGCACGTGTGCGCTTTACAAAGTTACGACAGGTGTTCTGTTGTTTTGGACTTGCGGTTCCTTGTGCGAGTTCTGACATTTCACGCTTGCAAGGTAAGTATTGTTCTTGGAATCGTGGGGTCTAGGGACTTGGGCTGCAGTAGCAGCATGTCAGTGTGCATAGCCAAGTTGCAGCAGGTTCTGGTTCCTTATGAGGCTCTGATAAGTGGCTTCTGTTACCCCGTTATGGAGTCGGTGGAACCTGTGTGTGCTTGGGCTGCCGTGGGCCTACTAGTTTGGTACCCTCTGAGCCGGCTTGGGGCGTGATTGTTTGTCCCCGTAGTATGTTATATCGAGTCACCGAATGAAAGGGAACATACAGTTATGAATATAATTACTGTTCCCTGAAGGAGGGAACAAGGTATAACATGTTTGGGCCCACGCCGTCAGGGGGTTTGGGCTCGCTGAAGAGCGATACTGAATTGAGAAAATGGATGCAAGCCCTGGTATTATAGCCAGGAAGGCTGGGTGTGATTTCAGCTTGATTCAGGTGAATAGGATCGGTCGTTGACTCTTCCTGGTATGTTGTACCTTGTTCCCTCCTTCAGGGAACATTAGTTATATTCATAACTGTACGTTATGGATGATCTAGGCATACTGACCAGCTTGACAAAAAGTCTGATTTATCCATTTGTAGCAGGTCCAAAAATGCTAAATTGTGTCACTGCATCTCATAAGACATAATTTCTACTGCTGCGTTAAGACAGAATGGGGAAGGAATGGCAGCATAATTGAACATGGTCTGTGTGGAGCCCTTTAATCTTCTCTAACTTCCTGTATTGCATGTTAAGTTCTAAGCAACTACAGTACATCTGGAAATATAGTAGATGCCAGAGCAGAGCAATCAAATCCAGATCCACTGATTGCAGCGGGCAGGCAGGAAAGCAACAGACTAGATCAATCACTCACAGAGCAGTGTGATTGGGACACAATAGCAGATCTCTGCATTGTGCTAGATTTTGAGAATATACATCTGTGGTCTACTGCTCCTCCTGCCCGTCGGTCCCTTTAAATGCCAGGCGGTGATTCTGCGCGCTCTGTGTGCACCTTTGGTAATAAAACCCCATCTGTCTCTCTATTGGCTGGACTGGTCTGGTTTTCCTTCCCAGTGATCCTGCTCATGAATATCCCCCAGTTGCATTCTCTCTCCTAACTGGAAGAAGAGGGGCTCCCCTGCACATTTTCAAATACATTATCTGCATATGGTCTTCCCATTGGCTGCACTGCCTGCCTGTACTCCTCCCTCCCAGACCTAGCTTTTCCCTACTCATGAGCTAGCCTGCTCTGTGGCGCGGTGCTGTGTGCCTTGCCTTTGCTGGTGATTGTGGAGCAGGAGGGAGGGCCTGTGGGGTGGAAGACAGCTGCAGCAGGAGGAGGAGGCTTTAGGCTGGGGCTGGCTTCAGCCATGTCAGTTTGCTGTGAGCTGGTCGGGTTATGAAAACCAGTCATGGCCATGTCGCTGAGCGCTGACGATGAGGATTACGACTCAGAGGCTGAGCAGGTTAGTTAGCACACTGAACCCAACCCCTCGGGACAAAGCAAAGGAGAGGAATGTGTATGTGTGTGAGGCACAGCGACTTGAGCTGAGCAGTGGTAGATGTTGTAGGGATCTGGAGCCACCTAAAGAGAAATGCTGTTTCTGTGTCAGTGGTATCCTCCTTTCTCTTGTTGTTTCTTTTCATCCCTGTACTTTTCGGTGTGTGTGTGTGTGTGTGTGTGTGTGTGTGTGTGTACCTGGTAAGTGCAGGAAGAAGGCACTGACTGTTCAGACAGCAGTGTCACTCCTCAGGGCAGCTACTGGTTGTTCCAGAACAGGGAAGAAAAAAGAGATCAACAACAAGAATGCCGTGTGTGTGATCAGACCGAAAGATGCAGATTAGAGATTCATTAATGGTGAGCTTGTGTAAGCATGTACGAACAGGGAAGAATAAATCAGATGCATTTGAATAGATTTACTGTGTCTGCGTATGTGTATGGTAATGAGAGAAAATAAAGTTTGATGTGTAGCGTATGAATTGTGTTTGGCACAGCCTACAAATTGTGTATGTAAACAGTGAGGAAGATTTTGTGTTTGTGTATAGACTCCTCTGGATTCCACCCCCCTTTCCAATTGTACACTGACTGGGTTGTGATATCATTGGATACAGTTGAGTTCCTTCCGCAGATGAGATGGCGGAAGATCCCCCCCCCCCAGCCCCCCGTTTTTGCTGTAAATATTAACACAAACAGTTTGTACGTGGTGTTCATCAATATCAGATGAAAACATATCACCATTTCAAGGGTCTGGTTGCAGATTGTTGTACAGTGCTATGAGATATTGATAGATTGATTGAGGTAAATTGCAACAAGTTGTTAGTGAACGGTAACTTGTGAATTCCTTGTCCTTTTTGAGTGTTTGTTATAGCAAGAGCAAGTAAATCCCCCAGAAGCTTAAAATATAAGTGTAGTCAATGTTTGGACAACACTTTTTGGGGCATTGGTAACACGCCTTTTTGATTGCCATTTCCATGAAGTAGCCTCAAATAAATATTGTGATGTGATAACGATTCCTATTTTTTGACTACCTCTGGGCGATCACAGTGCCTCAGGTTCTGAGAAAGCCTTGCATCTATAATCCCTCGCTCACGTTTCCTCTTGAGGTTTATCAGCAGTATTTCATCTAAGATCACACATCATATGTGTTTGTACTGTATGACTGTGTGGGTATGGGCTATGCAAATTGAGTAGGTCCTCCTGTGTTCCGCTGTGACGCAGTAGCTTATTGCACTGTGGCTTCTACTCCTACTCCTCTGCTGAACCTCAGCTTTGCTGAGCTAAGGAATAGCCTGCTTATATAGAGTAACGCTCATCTTCATACCTTACAGCTACATCATGTACGTGTGTGTGATCTGGGAATGCATTACATCGTTTACAGATTAACCTGTCAAACTACTAGGCATTAAAGGCTTTGTTGCTGATGAGATGGAGAGGCTACATTTCTGATGTCATTGCACGTCCTTGCAAGGAGATGGCACGCTCCCCATACAGTCTCCATTGGGATATGATGTGGAACATCTGTCACTGAAAGTGATCCTAGCTTCCTGTGACCGTGATTATGGTAACTGAGACTGACTGATGGGTCAGTTCGGGTTCTGTGACTAGACTCTCTTCCTCTATGTAGATGGTGATTTAACCCCTTCTGTCACTGCTCAATAGGAATCACATTGTGCGTTTATCCCTTCAAGGGGTGTTGTATCCAGACATGGTGGAGACCAGGGGATTTTGGAGACAATGTGGAGGGCTGTCTGGAACATCTTTTCTCATGTGTGGTCCTTTGGCCTCCTGGCCTCAGGTCTGATCTCACGATAGAGCTACTCTTTTAAGGCAGGTTAACTTCAAGATCACTAAATGCTGTCAGGTAACAGGTTACATAAGGAAATCTGATATGGGAAATGGATGATATGTCAGTGTCTTGTTGCTTGTGACATACACAACATGACCAAAAGTATGTGGACACCCATTTCATGAAGCTCCCGACAAACAGTTATTGTGCTGATGTTGCGTCCAGAGGCAGTTTGGAGCTCGGTAGTGAGTGTTGCAACCGAGGACAGATGATTGTTACGTGCTTCAGCACTCGGCGGTCCTGTTCTGTGAGCTTGTTAAATAAGGAACACTTACCACTTCGCGGCTGAGCCGTTGTTGCTCCTAGACATTTCCACCTCATAATAACAGCACTTACAGTTGACCGGGGCAGCTCTAGCAGGGCAGAAATTTGAATAACTGACGTGTTGGAAAGGTGGCATCCTATGACGGTGCCACGTTGAAAGTCACTGAGCTCTTCAGTAAGTCCATTCTACTGCCAACGTTTGTCTATGGAGATTGCACGGGTGTGGCTGAAATAGCCAAATCCACAAATGTTGAAGGGGTGTCCACATACTTTTTGTATATATAGTGTTTGTCAAGGTGGTGACCGGTGACACAGGACAGGTCATGGAGCACTGTACTGTGTATGTCCATGCTTTGTTTCTTTTAGTTTTAGCAGTTCCTTGGCTCAGTCAGACCCCCAGTCTATAATCCTAACAGAGACCCTCGGATTCCACCACCGATTTAGATTTCCCCCAATATCCAAAATAATCCTCTCTGGCTGTTGCCTGGATCTCTGAATACCCCAGCCTGGACACTCTGCTTAGTGTCTACTTGTTTTAGGATAAGTCTAGAACAAGGCAAGGATTTAGCCTTGGACCCTGCTGTTCTTTTATGTGTGTTGATCAAATCGCTGATTGATTGTGTTTTCTCTGTCCAGTGGTAGCTGGGTTGGTTACAGTGCTGATGTATTTGTATATGACAGTAAAACATTATTTATGATGACTTTAACATTTGTTGGCATCTTCAATTCTTGCACAGGTAAATTTGCTGAACTGCTAAACTTGGAACCAATCAGGACTCCCGTACATAACCGTTGTGATGAAGGCAGCCAATGGCCTGCTTCTATCTAAGATGTAAACACAGGCTCACGTGAAGACTGTGTGATGAAGAGAAACATATAGCTAGCCCCCAAAGACTGAAATAAGATAAATATCTGTTTTTGTGTATTTGAAATATGCATCATGCAATTCGAATTGACTTGATTGTATGAAGAGGTAACTCCGTCGACCATTTAGCCAATTTATTGAAAGCGAGCCAATGTTGCAGTTTGACTAGCCTAGCCAACTAATACTGTACATGTAAATTTGCCTGCTCAGGAAGTTAGTGTTTCATTAGTTATGTCAGTGAAAAGCATTTGAGTCATGCTTTGGCATGATTGTCTCATTTCAAGTAAATAGCTGCAGACTTAAAGAAACATTAAATCATATAATTTGCATAGAAACCCAAATATAATCATGTAGATGAAAAGGTATGTTTCATGTATGCTAGAATGGAGGTTTAAAAATGACAGCTGCATATGCATATTAGTCAAAACATAGAATAGAATGAAACTTTATTGTCCATCCAGGATGGACATTTTTCTTTGGCATCACTTTATATTGAAAGGATCACATACATTCTCACATCACACACATTTAAACCAGTCAGTCCGTCATATTGCGTACACAAAAAACAGAGGACATTGATACATTCACTCACAACTGAACGCTGTCCCAACTGCACTGGATAGATAAGTACAAATACCGATACAATTTACGTTGCATTTAGTAGTCCAACAGCTCAAGGAACTAATGAATGTTTGAACACGTTCTACTTGGCCATGTGCATTCTGAAGCACTGGTCAGAGGGAGGCCTCTCGAACTGAGGGTGTAGAGGGTGTTAGGGGTCGCCAACAACCGCCAGTGCCTTCCTTTGGGACCGACTGCTCAACTGTGCCTGTGGTCGACCAATTATTTTGCTGGCTGTGTTTACTATTCTGGTTAGTTTGCTTTTGCTCCTCACGCTCAGATTACCATACAAGAATGTCATATTGAACGTGAAGATGCTCTCCACCAAGCTGCTGTACACCCTCTCCAGAACATCCTGGCTGACCCCAAACCCCTTCAATTTCCAGATTTAAAAACAGGCGCTGGCTTGCCAAAAAAAAAATACAGTCTGCATTCTCTGTAAAGCTCAGCGTGTCATCAATTTGTGTCCCTAGGTATCTGAAACACTCAACACGGTTGGTCGTTCAGACAGAGTGGTTGGGACATTGGCAGGTTGTTGCCTTTGATCAGCTCCTTTGTCTTTTCCACATTGGTTTTTTCTGGCACCGTTCTTGAAGGTTGTTGGCCTGTATAAAATAGCTGTCCCCATCTGACGTAGCATCTTTAAAGAGTCCCACCAGAGCCATGTCATCCGCGTACCTGAAAAGGCTCACATTGTTTCCTTGGATTTTCATCTCGTTTGTGTAGATAGAGAACAACAACGGTAAAAGGACACACCCCTGGGGCGCCCCTGTGTTCAGGGTCAGTTCATCAGAGAGGGCCCTATTCACGAGGACCCTCTGTGGGCGGTCAGTTAAAGTCCTTGATCCAACCTGCGAGGCCTCCGTTGACATTCAGGTCCAGTAGTCATTTCAGCAGTGTGTGTGTATTTGCATTATATTGAAAGCTGAACTAAAATCAATAAATAAAATGTGTGCATATGATTTTGCATGTTGAAGGTGACTAGCCACCATGTTCACCAAGGTCAGGGTAGCATCCTCTGTGCCTTTATAGGCAAACTGTAACGGGTCCAGTTGATCTGCTATGGACTGGGTAAGGTGCTTACCGACTACCCTTTCCATGCATTTGGCCAGAAGGGTGTATGAGGGCCACAGGCAGAAAGTCATTTGGTGATTTGGCCCCTGGCTTTTTAGGCACTGGTACAATGGTTGACACCTTCCAGGAGTTTGGCACTGTGCAAGTGCTCAGCAGGAGTTGAAACAGTCGTGTGAAGACTCCCTTGAGCTGGCCGGCGCAAACGTTCAGTACTTTGCCCTGTAGTCCGTCTGGGCCCGGTGCTTTGTGTGGCTTGATATGTGATAGGCATGAGGCCACCTCATTCTCTGTTATCTGGACAGGAGAGGATTTGGGGATGATGTCACATATGTTCACATTTGTCATTAAAATCACTGGTGTCAAATCTTCCATAAAATAATAGTTACGGTTGTTTACAAAGGATGAACAGTCGGCCATTTTCTTGTTCTCTCTTTTCCTTTCTCATCCCATCATTGCATTAAGGCCCTCCCATGCTTGTCTTGGATTGCCTGTACAAAGAACCTCTGCTCCACTTGATCCTTTTTAGCGTTCCACATTTTTGACCTGAATTCATTTTCTTTCTCCTTTACAGCATCAGTATCTCCTTTCAGGAATGCAAACTTCCTTTCATTGAGGCACATTTTCAAGTCCTTAGACACCCAGGGCTTGTTGTTGGGAAATACTCTGACAGTTTTTGTGTTAATGACAGTATACTCACAGATCTGGATGTATGATGCGATGCTGTCTGTCAACTCATGGGGATCCCTGCACGAGTCAAAGAACACCTTCCAGTCTGTGACGTCAAAGCAGTCCTCGAGCTCCTCCCTGCTCTCATCTGTCCATACCTGAATGGATTTCTCTACAGGTTTTTCAAGTTTCACGTTCTGCCTGTATCATGGTAGGAGTTGAATAACGTTATGGTCTGATCTCCCGATGGGTGCTCTGCGCACTGCCTTGTATGTGTCATCTATGTTGCCATAACACTGGTCCAGGATGTGAGTTGAACAGGTGACGTATTGTTGCAGAGTGGGGAGGTGTGCGGAGAGGGAGAGCGTATTAACATCCCCAAGCACAAATACTGGCTGGTCAGCCGATCATGAAAGCGCAGCATTGAAACAGTCTGTAGTCCTGTCAGCAGCTTCCTTATTGTAAGGTCCAGGCACATAGACCAGAATAATGTTAATCTGTCCAAACTCGCGTGGTAGATCGAATGGCCTGGATGATACAACGAGAATCTCATAGTCTCTGGTGCACACTTGTTCAATGACGTTACACTACGTGGCCCAAGTATTATCTACAACGATACATAGCCCCACGCCTATTGATTTATGTGATATTGTTTTGTCTCGATCTGCTTAAATAAGTGTATCCATCAATGTTAACATCAATATTGTCCTGCTTGAGCCATGTTTCTGTAAAGCAGATTTAGATTTCTTCTCCTAAAGTCCTCTTCGAATTTAGCCCTCGCCGCTAACTCGCCCAAGTTATTATTTAGTGACCGCATATTTGACAGGGTGATCACTGGGAGCGGGTGACTGCTTCCCCGCCTCCGTAGTCTGTTCTACAACTGTTGATTGGTGTCCACCTGTGGTAATATCTTCTGTGTTCTTGTTTGTGTACAGTACATCTATATAACGTGTGTGTGTGTGTGTGTGTGTGTGTGTGTGCGCGCGTTTTTATGAGCAGCATTTACAACATTATCTTGGCTCCGGGCCAGTAATAACAGAGGGGAAAATAAACTCTGTCAGGAGGAAATGGACTCAATAATGGAAAGTGCTTCACATCAAAGCAGTCCTCCTCCCCATCTCTCACTGCCTTCCAATTGAATTTTACAGCACATTTTAAGCCCACTCCCTGTTACGTAACACTGTTAAAGTGGTCCATGTTTTGGCATACCATTTTTTTATTATAGTAAAACAAATAATTTAACCCTTATTTTACCAGGTAAGTTGACTGAGAACACATTCTCATTTACAGCAACGACCTGGGGAATAGTTACAGGGGAGAGGAAGGGTGATGAAAGAGCTAATTGGAAGCTGGGGAGGATTAGGTGGCCATGATGGTATGAGGGCCAGATTTGGAATTTAGCCAGGACACTGGGGTTAACACCCCCTACTCTTACGATAAGTGTCATGGGATCTTTAGTGACCACAGAGTCAGGACACCCGCTTAACCTCCCATCCGAAAGACTGCACCCTACACAGGGCAATGTCCCCAATCACTGCCCTGGGGCATTGGGAAATTGTTGGGGGGGAATAGAGGAAAGCGTGCCTTCTCCTGGCCCTCCAACACCACTTCCAGCAGCATCTGGTCTCCCATCCAGGGACCAACCAGGACCAACCTTGCTTGGCTTCAGAGGCAAGCCAGCTGTGAGATGCAGGGTAGTATGCTGCTGGCAAAATGTTGCTAGGTAAACATAGAAGCACATTCAGACCAAGCTTTTAAGATGTTTGAGTGCAGATGATTTGAGTTCGAAAAATGTAATGTTCTCACTTGAGTGCGGTTGGATGATGGCTTCATCCCTGGTCCTGTGTTTTCCATAGAAAGTGGAAGTAGATAGTTCGACCAGAGATCTGCGTATAACCGGTTATAATAAAGGCTCTGCTGCCAGTGACTCATCACTTAATTGGTCAACTGCTAGCATTGATTAGATTAATCAATTCACCTGGTTTCCCTAATCAGCTACCAGTTCAGGGGTCAATATTACAGCAAACACTGCAGCACCCCGTAGACCTGATCCATCTGTCTCTGTACCTTTTTAGTGTGGTTGTGCTATAAAGACACCTGACTCTCCTTCCTCTCCCTCTACTTCTTCTACTTTCAGCAGCAGCGGCCTCCCAACAGACCCAAACCCAAAATGGCGGCCACATCTCCCGCGGCGGCGGTCAAGCTGTCGGCCAGCCGGAGCACGTCTGGCGCCCGGAGGAGGAGGACGCGTTGTCGGAAGTGCGAGGCGTGCCTGAGGACAGAGTGTGGAGAGTGCCACTTCTGTAAAGACATGAAGAAGTTTGGAGGGCCAGGTCGCATGAAACAGTCCTGCATCATGAGGCAGTGTATAGCGGTAGGTCTCCTACTAATCTTAACTACAGTAAGTCTGTTTGGCTTTTTATTGTGAAATGTTTTAAATGGTCAAACTAAAACTAACCTGCAAAGTGCACTATGTGTGTAGAGTGAGTTTCTAATATGCTGTTTTGTCTCCAGCCTGTCCTGCCCCACACAGCAGTGTGTCTGGTGTGTGGAGAGGCAGGGAAGGAGGACACAGTGGAGGAAGAGGAGGACAAGTTTAACCGCATGCTCATGGAGTGCTCCATCTGCAATGAGATAGTCCATCCTCTCTGCCTCAAGGTAAACCGCTCAGTACAGTGTGTGGATGCTGTCTCTGAGCCTCTCATATCTCTGTATGTGATTGGTTGATTCAGTGTGAGCACTTACATTACTGCAGTGTATTTGTTTATGGTTGCCCTTCATCCTATAGAGGACTTCTATGCTGCAAATGATAAACGATAGCTTTGCTTCTTACTGTCTCACTTTTACTTGTGCTTCCTATCACCTTCACCCACTCACTACTTGTGCTCTCTTGTTCAGGTGAAAGATTCCGGTGGAGTTGTAAATGACGAGTTGCCAAACTGCTGGGAGTGTCCAAAATGCAACCATTCAGGGAAGACAGGGAAAGTAAGCATCTATGTGGATGTGGAAATGAATGTTCTTGGCAGAATATCTAGGCTTTGCTCTGTTCAAGACCTCAAATGTATTGTAAAAATACGTTTGAATTACAGGTGTCCTGAAACAAATAGGCAAAAGATATAAAGTAGTCTTCTCTTGTTTCTCACCTTTTGGCCGTCAAGCAAAAAAGAGGACCAGGGTTCAAGTACGCATCCAACCTTCCCGGGTCGCTACTGAAGGACTCACGATTGAACCGTGACATCAAGGAAGAGCCCGAGCCTCCCAGTGTGCCAACCTCACCCACTTTGACCATGGCAACCGTGACCACAGTGAAAAGGAAGGCGGAGCGTGAAGACACCCCCAAAAGGAAAGCAGAGGAATCTCCTCCTCTGAAGAAACGTTCTCCCATGCTCTCTCTGGGCGGGCTACCCCGACCCAGGCCTGAGGACAACCCTCTGAGGAAGAAGAGGATGCTGTTCGACATCAAAGATGAGGATGAGCCTCCTGTTGTCAAGAAAAAGGTAATTTATCCAACAGACTTCAGCCTGATCATGGATAATTACGTTTATAATGAAGTATCTGTACTAAGCATTCCTCTTGATTTGAGAAAATGTGATAAGGCCCAGAGTTTATTTTGTGATTTGAGAATTGTAAACCACTTACTTGTGAAAAATATATAATGTAGAAGATCTTCTAAAAAGGCCACTTCAAACTATAAAGTGGATTGTAACAAATGAATGTCAGAGGAACTGATCTGCTCCATATGTTCCCTTACAGAAGAAGCCCCCAAAACCTGATGACCTTTTGATCCCCAAACTGTTAAAGCCCATCAAGCAAGAGCGAGTGGATGAGGACGAAGAACACAAAGCCCATGAAGATGAAGCGGAGGATAGATACACAGGGGACAGGGTTACAACTAAAGGGAAAAGACAAGAAGAGGAAGAGGATGGAGATAAGGAGGAGGAGGAGGAGAAAGATGGTGGTGGAGAGGACTGTAAAGACGGTACAGTAAAGACTATGCTGAGTCCACTGCTACGGACGTCTGCAGCCAGAGAGAGTGACCAGTCCTGCTCCAGCTCTCCCCGGGCAGGGCCCAGCAGTGAAGGGTGCGATGCCCCAGAGAAGACACCTGGCCAGCTGAAGGCACGCAAGCGCCGCCGCCTCCCCAACAAAGAGCTGAGCAAGGAGCTGAGCAAAGAGCTCAACCTGGAGATCCAGAAGACCGAGGACTGCCTGGCCAATCAGAACCGCAGACCACTGAAGAGGGAGGACAGCCCAGCCAATAACAGCCGTCGACCCTTGAAAACGGAGGACTCCTCGACCAATCCGAACCGCAGACCACTAAAAACAGAGGACTCCCCTGCCAATCATAACCGCAGGCCAATTAAGACTGAGGATGGCCTATCCAATCACAACCGCCGCCCATTGAAGACTGAGGACAGCTTAGTCAATCAGAACCACAGGTCAATGAAGACAGAGCCTGAGAGCGACGGGGAGGAGCCGAAGCCGAAGCGGCCACTCAACAACTGCAGCAGTGACCTCGGAGACTGGCTCCACCCCAGGGGGCGGGAGGTGAACGGGACGCCCCGCCAGCTCTCGCCCCTTGGGTGGAACCGCAGCCCTCCGATCACGGCCATTTGCCCACGCCCCCCTCCCTGCCGCTCACCGCCCAAGTGTGTCCAGATGGAGCGTCACGTGATCCGGCCGCCTCCCATCAGCCCCCCGCCAGACAGACTGCCCCTGGACGACGGACAGGTCCACGTGATGCGCAGGGAGGTGTGGCTGGCCGTGTTCGGACACCTCGCACACAGAGACCTTTGTGTCTGCATGCGCGTCTGCAAGACCTGGAACAGATGGTGAGTGTTAAGATGTGCTGCAGCTGTCAGATAGACCAAGGGCTCTGATACCAAGTTAAACCAGTCAGTCTTGTGAATTAGTGGGTTGTGTTTTTCATAATGGTCCTTGTTCATTGGAACTACAGTATGGACACTAAACTGTAAGGCTCATAGCTAGACTAGAGCTCTCACCTCAGCGTAGTCTTTCCACAGTCGTAGCTATGGTGGCTGTGTGATCATATACTAACCTTTGCCCCTGCCTCCCCAGGTGCTGTGATAAGAGGCTATGGACGCGGATCGATCTGAACCGCTGCAAGTCCATCACTCCCCTCATGCTGAGTGGCATCATCCGCAGACAGCCTGTGTCGCTGGACCTCAGCTGGACCAACATCTCCAAGAAGCAGCTCAGCTGGCTCATCAACAGGCTGCCAGGTAAACACCAGGCAGCAGTGTTGTAACTGACACAATGTGCATAGCCCTCTGTGCCTTTATAACAGAATGGTCTGAACTGTATAGGTATGTATGTATACACAGAGCTGTTATACTGTATCTCTGTCCATGGCTCTGGGTACACACTGCAAACCTGATGTCACCATTGCAGTCTATTACAGTGCTTCTCTGTACTGAGGGTATTGACATGAACGTATTTAATGTAACGCTGTCTTTGTTTCCATGGTTGGGTGAGCTGCTCCGGCATGTCTGATGATTGTATCCCCAGGGGTTCCTGAGTGTTTCAGACGGTTTGCTTTGTTTCTGATGCATTCCCTCTCAGGATCATGCCGCGACTGTAATCACATTTGCATAGTGATTGTTTTTGTTTCCTTGTTTTTGCAGCCTCAGGTTAACGAACTGTTGGAGACTAATACGATTGCTAAATGGAAAATCACAATTAGTCTCCCCCCCCCCCCCCCTCAAAGATTGAAAATAGCAGCAGATAATGTTACATGTTTTTAGTTTAGAGTTAGTTAGTTAGTTAGTTAGGACTGGCCTAGTTGGAGGGCAGGAGCCCTAATGATGTATTATTCTGGCTTTAGTTTTTTTGTCACAGTGCTAGGGTGTTAGCAGGTGCTAGCGTGTTAGCAGGATTTGAGAGAGAGTGATGATGTTGAGTTTTGACCCCTGTTAACCCCTGACTGTTGTCCCTGCAGGTCTGCGCATGCTGCTGCTCTCAGGCTGCTCCTGGGCGGCTGTGTCTGTCCTCTGCACTGCCAGCTGCCCGCTGCTGAGGACCCTGGACGTCCAGTGGGTAGAGGGGCTCAAAGACGCCCAGATGAGGGACCTGCTCTCACCCCCAACAGACAACAGACCAGGTATATTCCCACCATCCTCCAATGTGTTATAATGACCATCTGGACACATGGCGTGAAGTTTTGAACAGCATGTCAATGTGCTTTGCGATCCAGTCAGGCTGCAGCAGCCCATCCATGTCAGGTCTTGCTGTGCTCTCTGGTGCCCCCTTGTGGCTGTCTTTACAGGCCACACAGCTGGAAACGCTTGCACCTGATTGTGCGCCTAGTAGAAGTAAGGAAGCTTAGAAACAACTTGACACATTCAATCTCTCCGTCTTTCTCTCTCCCCCTCTCCCTCCCTAGGTCAGCTGGACAACAGGAGTAAGCTGCGGAACGTGGTGGACCTGCGTCTGGCCGGGCTGGACATCACCGACACCTCCCTGCACCTCCTCATCTGCTACATGCCCCAGCTGACCAGACTGGACTTGAGCTACTGCAACCACGTCACTGACCAGTCGGTCAACATCCTGACTGCTGCAGGGAGCACCACCAGAGACTCACTCACTGACATCAACCTCTCCGGTAGGAGGATACAAGGCCATGTCAGAATGTCCCTCCTGCCTACTGTTTACTGAAAGTATTTACTAACAGTAGCAGTACTACTCACTAGTTAGAACATATTGGTTAGAATCCAGACACAGCCATTGACTGTTCATTGCAACGTTCATTCATTGCTTCATGGCATAGGTCTTGGCATGTTCCCATTCATTGCTTCATGGCATAGGTCTTGGCCTCCTACTGAGAAGAATGCACCCCCCCGTAAAGACATGTAACGTCCTCATGGATGCCAATTGATTTTTATATATCTATCTCTATATCGATCTAGATTATTATTTTTAAACGTTTTCTCTAAAAAGCTTTGTTGCACAATTAACAGTCAATACACCTCATTTCAAACAGTCAGGAATAATCTAATGAATTCAGGGCTTGTGAAATTGCACATAGGCTAAATATAAGCCTTCCACAACCATACTAATAATGTAAATATTATATAAAAATAGTTTAACCTGCTTTTGTTGTTGTTGCAATAATCACTGATCTGGCTTTCAAGTCTGTCTATGAAAATGCCATTTTGTTACAAAATGACCCAGAACCATGCATAATGCAAATCCACTAATTATGACCAACTTATTGTAGCAGGCATTATAGAAAATGAACACAGGTCTCATAAACAATATCTCAAGCACAAGCCCATGTGCTAGTGAGTAGCCAGCTAATATTTATATTTCAAGTCTAGCCAACTTGGATCTATTTGCTTGCTAAAAAGGCAGAACAGTTGAACTGTTATGAATATACCCTCCTCTCCGTCTCCAACTGTGTGAACAACATAGCGATTCTGTTGGACCAAACCTCAAATGCAAATAGCTAGATTAAACCGCTTGTTGTCAGAGAGGAAGAAGCTCTTTTGTCTTTTTGTTGTGAGTGGCAGGGGGAGGGACTTGGGGTCTGTGTGCGAGTAGAAAGGTGCACACAGCACAGAAGGAGCGAAGGAGACGAGACCAAAAAGACAGAATGCTCAAAAACTAAATAAAAAACGTGATTCTTGTGATACAGGCATTTGGAACATCGCGCTAAAACATACATTCGAATTAATTATATATATTGCGAAGCCCTATATAAATAGCTTTAATTGTGTCTATTTGTGATGCGCTGTTGGAGCCATGGGGTGGAGGAAAACCACTACAAACACCATAACTGAAGCACTCCCCATGTTTCTCCACTCTGAGTAGTGCCCTTAAAGGTTGGATCAATGAGAGACAGACGTTCCCATTATGAGACAGTCGGGGAACCGTGTGGTAGTCAGACTAATGAGGCCTCTGGCACCACTGATGTCTTCTTATCCACTCTCAGTTACTCACTGATGGAACCACATGAAAGCTTGTTAATGGAGGTAGCCATCACCCATTGACAGCACTTGAAATCCCCATGCACATGACTATGGTGAGGTTTTGGCTAGAGCCTTATATCCTAGAAAACAAACGACTGGTAAGTATATAGGAGGAGCCTATCTGTCTGTGTATATGTACTGAAGATGCTGAATGGGCTCCTATTACATCAACCTCCTACTGTATCTTCCTCCTCCCTCCCCTCTGCAGTGTGCAACAGAGTCACGGACCAGTCGTTGACATACTTCAAGCGCTGTGGAAGCATCTGTCATATTGATTTGCGCTACTGCAAGCAGGTGACCAAGGAGGGCTGTGAGCGGTTCATTGCTGAGATGTCAGTGAGTGTACAGTTTGGACTAGTAGAGGAGAAACTACTACAGAAACTCTGCTAGTGGACACACAGCAGGTTGACAGAGACTGCACTGTATGCACTCGCTAGCTAGGACACTCGCTAGAATAAGGAACCAGCAAGGGTGGTGTTATCGCCATGGAGAAAGTGTTGTATTTCATGCATTTCTGTGCAAAAAATAACCCACATAGGACATTTTAAAAGTGACTGTGGCTCTGATACTCATTGAATGCCTCTTGTGCTGCTGAATCAGTCATGTTTTCCAAAACAGGACTTTCAACATCTAAGGCCACCTGGCATTACTGGATATTTGACAAAGCATGTTTTTCCCCGTTTTGTCTTTGAGATATTTCAGTTATTTTTTTATTTCTGCAAATGAACAGGCTGTGTATGTTCACAATGGTTATGTTTTACTTATTTTGTTTAGTATGTACTGTTGTTGCAGTGCACAGTTTATGCATTACACATACATATTTTTGTATCAGAAAGTGTTTCATACTTTTATGTGCAGTATTGAATGCACTGATTTACAGTACCATTTTTTAAATGGACAATATTCAATCTGCCTCTGTTTGTTTATTATTATTTAGACTCATCCTCTGTAGATTTATGTGAATAGAACAGTAACTTGTTTTCTGTGCGGCTGTTTTATATTTAATTTATTTAAGTGCTGATGTTCAGTTTGATGTTTGTAATAGTCTGTACAGTACACAGGTACTTTCTCCTTTTCATGTTTTAGTTTTACTGAACTTACATTTCTAAATATCTAGAAAAATCTATTTGTACTGTTTGACAAATAAATATTACTGTCCTTTCCAAGGTTTATCAAGCCAGTATGAGTTGGCACCAGTGACTGTTTGCAAGAGGAAGCATCATAAGGCTGATTCAAAGAAAACTACTGCATACCAAGAATCTGTCAGTCTCCATATACTAGGCTGGTGTGACATTATCATGGTCTGCTTTTTTACAAGGGATTCTCACACATTTGGATGCAGGTTTTAAGCAGACACTTGATTTTGAATGAAAACAGTATGTACACTGAGTGTACAAAACATTAGGAACACCGTCAGGGCATGGGGTCGGAAGCGTTCCACAGGGAGGCTGGCCTATGTTTTCTCTCCAATGCTTCCCACAGTTGTGTCAAGTTGGCTGGATGTCCTTTGGCTGATGGACCATTCTTGATACACACTGGAAACATGAGCGTGAAAAACTCAGCAGCGTTGCAGTTCTTGACACACTCAAACCGGTGCGCCTGGCACCTACTACCATACCCCATTCAAAATACAGGTGGCTGGCGGCACCTTAATTGGGGAGGACGGGCTCATAGTAATGGCTGGAATGGAATTGTATCAAACACATCAAACATGGTTTCCATGTGTTTGATACCATTCCACTGACTCCATTCCAGCCATTATGAGCCGTCCTCCCCTCACAAGCCTCCTGTAGTTCAAAGGCACTAAATATTTTGTCTTGCCCATTCACCCTATGAATGGCACACATACACAATCCATGTGTCAATTGTCTCGAGGCTTAAAAATCCTTCTTTAACCTGTGTCCTCCCCTAAGGGATCATAACTTTCACCTGGCCAGTCTACGTCTTGGAAAGAGCAGGTGTTACTAATGTTTTGTCCACTCAGTGCATGTGGTGTAATAATACAAACTGGGATACTGTACGGTCAGTGTCTGACAGGTAACTAAATACATTCCTTATATTATACTGTAGTTATTACACTGGTCGTAAGTAGTGGCTTTCTTTGTGCATGCAGGCTATTATTAGACTATATACACTGAGTGTATAAAAAAGTGGTATGTACAAGAAATGACAAAAGTATGACTTTCTAGTGGGTCCTAATCTATCAATGTTTTGATAAATCTCCTTTTTGTATGTGGACAGGCCTAACTACCAATCACCATGTCTTCCCTGTGTGGTTGGGAAATGTATTAGTATATAATTGGTTCAACAGTGTATATACTGTAAATCTTAAGCTTAGAGAAACTAGTTTGTGACTTGAGTTGTTAACTCATCCTAAATACTGAGCTCTATTTTTGGTCACTTTTTTTCCACGATCATCTTAATTTCTTTTTGGTCATGTTCATAAGCAGTCTGTGCAATATGTAAACAAAAAATGTGTGAAATGTTTAAAATGTCATCCATTGGAATATCTATGAATGGTTTTTACGTTCTGAAATAAAAACCTTCAACATCAAATTTAGAATAGTATGCCATTCTGTCAACATTGCATTAATTAAACCAGGAATAAACAATTAGTTTAAGGTAACCAGTTGGATACAGCAAGCAGTGTGTTCATTATTATTTTATGGTATAAAGCTATTAAATAATGTTCTTTAATTACCTAAATAAAAGTTCAACATTCCAAAGATCCAGGATTCCATTGAGTGCACATAACTCATCATGCTTTAATATCATATAGCTGCCTACAAGTGACATATTTTTGAGAAGTAGCAGGAATTTAATAAACATACATGTAATCACAGTGACTGTTCGCTAACGTGCGTGATGTATAAATGGATCCCAGCAGGTAAGAACAAGAAATGCTCCAAAGGAAAATGATGAGAACTTTAATTGTGAGCTGTCACATGATCAGTAAGCGCTCTGTTTTGGTTGGTGGAGCATCGTATTCATCTGATTAATTAATAGCATTTACATTCTGAAAAAATTGCAATTCAACCTCTCAAAATATAAATAAATGCTAATAAATTATGACTTCCAAAGCAAATGGAAAAATATATTTATCTATAGATTACATATCAGTAAACAACAATATTAGATATCATATGCAATAAATGTTACAGCAATAAGCTTTTCTGCTATAATGTACCACAGGCATTAGTAGATAATTTTAAAGACATTTGAAAAATCTGAAAGAACACAAGTTGTATTTGTATTAACTAATTAATGTAGAACAGATTGAGGTTAAGCTTCATTTTTATTCTCTTAAAAAAATATTAGATATTACAAGACACACCCACAACATGATTAAAAGATATGTTTAAGTATAAGCACCTGTTACCTACTTCTCGAGTTGAACAAAGAGCCAATGGACAACAAGCGGACAAAACACCTAGGGAAAAATAATGGAATGATATTGCTTAATTAAGTTAAATGGCAGAGACACATTGCCAGTCATGCCTGACTTTAACAAAAGCTACACAGACACAAAGAGCACAGGAATTTAAAGCATGGGATGACCCAGCCACAGTGTGTGGTATGTTACCACATTAGATGGGAGCCTTATCCAAGCCAAACAAGATCATCAACATAGTACATATTGATCATAATGTGATATCACTTGTGACTGATTAAAACACATGCAAGAGGAGAACATGGGTGGAACAAGTGAACTGAAGCCCCTTACTAACCCGTAGCATGTGGCTCAAGTGTTTCCCTACAATCTAACCAATCACTGAGCCTGAACACAAATTGATTCATTTGGGTTGGATGCTGCTCCAATCTACAATGCATGGTCTGAAGTGAGGAGTGACACTTGGCATAGAAACCGCAATCAGACATCAGTAATGTAGTTGTGGTATGAAGTTTGGCACCTAAAACACCCTACGATGTGTGTGTAGAACGGAACAGCACAGAGACGTACAGCCTGATAGTGTTTCTCAGACTGGTTTATAGACAGACAGTTCCTCACTCACACATAGAAATCTCTTTTTTAATATTGCACATACTAAAGAACAGTGAAGGAGATACACACAGTATAGCCTGGTGTGACAGGTGTGTAAACCATATCGACTCTAACCCTGGGATATCATCATCATTTCCACCTTGATCACCTCAACTACTCACCATGAAAAATCACATCCAATCCAATTCAAGTATCCATGGGATCAACTCCGCTCCATGGTTAATTATAAGTAAAAAAAAAAAAAAAAATACTACAAAATGAAATGAAGCACTATAAAATAAGATATTGTAGAGTTATTTTTGGAACAGTTCAATGTGTGTTACACTAAATACTTCTAGAAGGTCAGTCAGTGCAGCCAGTGGGTCCAGACCATCACTGGGGAGAAGTGGGGCTCTTGTAGTTCTAGGAATAGGAGTTAGGCTGTGTGAAGCGGTCTGCTCTGCATGTCATTTGAACTGGAGGATGTGCACGTCTGTTGCATCCTTGGAAACGTGCACAGCCCATTCAAACTCCCTCACTACAGATTCAGGTTTTCGAGCACATGCACACTCTCCGCCGCAGCTTCAATGTCCTCGGCTGACATGCTCGCTCACGGCAGAGTTAGTTAAGACTTGAAGACGTGAACGGCCCGCACCACGTACTGCCTGCAGATGGGGCACTCGCTCATCCTCATCCCACATTTGGTACAGGTGACCATGTGACCGCACTCCAGCAGCACACAGTCGATCACAGCGTCCATGCAGATGCGACACAGGTGATCATCAGAGGCCAGCTGAGCCTTCACACGGTCTGTGGAGAGAAATAAGGTATGAGAAAACAGTATTACACTCACTATGCAGTACGCAGCCTGAGGATGGCTGTCTTCTCTGGTTCATTCACATACCCTACATCAGTAGCAGTGGAGGCTGGTGGGAGGAGCCCTTGGAAGACGGGCTCATTGTAATGGCTGGAATGGAATAATTGCAACGGAGTCAAATGTGGTTTCCATATGTTTGATCTCGTTCCATTTATTCCATTCCAGCCATTACAATGAGCCCAGCCTCCTCTGATCAGTAGCTACATGATATATGTAGTGCTTCAATAGCCAGTTAAACAGCATGATTAACTGGTCGCTCTCCAAAACAACTCTTAGTGTGTTAAACAGCAGGGTATAATACAATCCTCAAGCCATTTATATTATTAGGAAGGGTGTCTCAAAGACCTGCACTGTATATATAATAAAACCCGATGAAGACGGTGCAATTAATATAATATGATGGGTCGTAAAGAGGTAAAAGTTGTTAGGGACCGCATTAACGACAGGAAGAACGACAAGCCTTCAGTACTAATGAGATGATGGAAATGAGAAACACATACAAAAAATCAAGCATTGGGACCATGCAGGGAG